CAGGCTTCGCGGACCTCTCCGCAAGCAGCGGCAGCGCTGCCGCTGCTTGCGGACAGGTGCCAGCATGCCGAAGCCTGCGCGCGCTGAGATCAGCGCGCCCAGGCTTCCCGCCCCGCCTCCCGGCATCGGGGCATCGTCCCGATGCCGGGCGGCGGCGGAGGCGTCCCCCCCCCCGCCGCCCGGGATCGGGGCATCGTCCCGATGGTGCGCGGTGGCGGAGGCGCCCCCCCCACCGCCCGGGATCGGGGCATCGTCCCGATGGCGCGCGGTGGCGGAGGCGTCCCCCCCCCCGCCGCCCGGGATCGGGGCATCGTCCCGATGGCGGGCGGCGGAGGAGGCGTCCCCCCCCGCCGCCCGGGATCGGGGCATCGTCCCGATGGCGGGCGGCGGAGGAGGCGTTCCCCCCGCCGCCGCCCGGGATCGGGGCATCGTCCCGATGGCGGGCGGCGGAGGAGGCGTTCCCCCCCCCCCCCGCCGCCCGGGATCGGGGCATCGTCCCGGTGGCGCGCGGCGGCGGAGGCGTTCCCCCGCCGCCCGGGATCGGGGCATAGTCCCGATGGCGGGCGGCGGGGGGAGGCGTTCCTGCCCCGCCGCCCGGGATCGGGGCATCGTCCCGATGGCGGGCGGCGGAGGAGGCTTCCCCCCCGCCACCTGGCATCGGGGCATCGTCCCGATGGCGGGCGGCGGCGGAGGCGTTCCCCCCCCCCCGCCCGGCATCGGGGCATCGTTCCGAAGCCCGGCGGCGGCGGGAGGAGGTGTCCCCGCCCCGCCGCCAGGCTTCGGAGGAGGTCCGAGGACAGTGGGGAAGACGCGCTGCGCTTCCCCGCTGTCCCGGAGATTTCCCTATGGGCTGTCGTCTTGCGAAGCAAGCCCATAGGGAAATTCGTTTTGCGAAGCGCCTCCAAAACGGAAAACCCTTTCGTCTAGCGGGTTTTCCATCTTGCGAGGCATTCGTCTTGCGAGGTACCACTGTATTAAAAAGTAATTTTTGTGACCAGTCTGAAAAGCCCTACTCTTTTGCTCATTCTTATCACTTCCATCGTAATCACTTCTCTCTCATTCGTGTAAAATTTAAGTCATTATATCAAGAGATCCTACTGAACAATGTAAACTGTTACTCTTTCTGCAATGTCCAAATACTTTGGTTTCCATTCTTAATTATAAAATTGCCTCATTTTGATCCTAGCCCCATGTAATCTGCCATTAGTGTCAGCATCTTAAGTATTAATTCACAGGGAAGGATATTGAATAAAATCTGAACAGGTGGCAACAGTTAAGATACCAGCATGCAATTACTTCTAGATCTCTTGTGGGACCAGTAACACATTGTAAGAGCTCATGAAAATTCCCTTAAAGGTTTGTCAAAAAGCACTTCATGAGTTTACAAATAGAATCTCACCAGAATGCAGTTTTTTCCCTTTTGAACTTTAAAATAGCTACTGAGCAAGCTGAACAGAAGATTCATTTAAACATGGATTAGAGGAAATTTACATATAAATGCTTGGTGCATGCTAATAAACCCATTCTGTTTTAATATTCCACTCTTCAGTAAGAACTTATGTGACTGAAAATGCTGTGAGACCATAATCAGGTCAGAAAGCAAATTTATTCAAGGTTTTTTTTCAGTTTAATATACTAGTTCGCTCTCTGGGTATCTGTTTATGTACAGTGCAGTGTAAACCATTATATGGTTGAGAACTACATCCATCTAAATATGCTATAAGCTGCTGCTGCTGTACCATAAGTGCACCAGTTGCTGGGAGAAATTGTGAGAGTTTTCCCTAGAGAAGTCCTGTGTCCTAGGTAAGACTGAAAGATTTGCTGGGATGATGTGCTAGAAGTTCCTACTTCAAGTCACTTCACTTCATGGGTGGCCTTAGCAAACCACTATTTCTGATCCTCACTACTTTTTTGCCCGCCCTCCCCCAAGCTACAACTGTCTTGCGGCAGTAATGGTATACAGGTTGATTTATTCTGGATTGTTTTATTTGATGTTTTAATGTGTTGTAAACCGCTTTGAGATGGTTTTCTTTAAAATATCGAGCAATATAGAAATGATGATGATGATAAATAAATAAATAAATAAATAATGTAAATGCCACCACAGAAAGAGTGCCTTGACATTCCGTTGTGGTGACAGCAACCTAGGTTTAAGGTGCCATTTGGAGATAAGATTATATATGTTTCTGATAGTGGCAGGAAGGCATCATAGGGCCCACCTCCAATTCAATACTACAACTTCTTATTTTTCCACGTGCCTATATCATTTCCCATGTCAGCTGAGTGCATGCATTGGTGCTGGATTCCTAAAATGTACTGGAACAAATGAGCTTTTACATCAGAAATAATCCAATTGTAGAAATGTGCAGTAAAAAAAAATTCTTAGTCAAAGATTTTGAAGTTTCACAGCAAACATAAGCACGTGTTTAAAAGCACAGATACTGCTAATATGACAAGCAATATGGTACCCACCCTTCAGCCTAAAAGAAAATCTTGCCCAGCTTTCAGAAAGACAAGTCATGTTCAGGATGCAGCTGTTGAGTTTTGCTCCTACTTGACTTTCTTGGTTGCATTTCTCTTTGGTACTTACATGACTTCCTTCCTGTTTTTGTCACATTAAGTAGACTTATTACATTGCAATGCTTTTGGTACCAGTTAATTTTGCTGGCAATTTGCTCAACAAAACCTAAACACAGAACCCTAAAACATCAGAATACAATGCAACATAGACATGGGGAAAGGGATCTCCAACAAACAGTTGACGATCAGGTGGTTTTTTTTAAAAGGTGTCCCATTCAGTCATTCATAGTACAGTATTTACGTGGCTTCAGTGCTCACTATGTGAAGTAACTTTCAGTGTTATGTCTCTGCTGTTTAATAAACAATAAGCTTTCATACTATTTTTCTATTGGCTGTTAACATGTTGAGAAGGCATAGGATTTATATATCTGTAGTTTACTCTTCAATTTCAAGCCCAAGAGCACACGACAGGTGCCAGGTTCTTCATCTAGCTTTGCCATATCTGCACTACATCTGGGGACCTTGTTCAGCAAATTCCTCCCATCTGTACAAGTTGCTATGTTCAGTTCAGCAGGTGACTTTATTCTATTTCAAACGAGAGAGAGAGGTAGTATATATTGAAAATACCAGATTGAAATAAAAACAAACAAACCTTAACTGTGGACAACATAAAATAAATCTTGATTGAGGTGGAAGCCCAATGGGGTTGGTTTCTGGAACCTAAAATCATACTCTCTGCTTTTTCTTCTGACCTCCCCCATCCCTCCCCACCTTTTTATAGCATGCTGTTGCATAGTGATATTTCCTGTTTTAGCATTTTATGCTGCCTCACTTCAGAAAAATACAGTGCTCACTTTCATACAGTGAACTGAGGATAAGCTATGTATAAGATATTGTAAGTTGACATTAGAGCAAGATGCCAGCTAGCAAAGTGTTCATGGGTGTATTTTAAACATAATCTTTTAATGAAATCAAATTGTTGCATGTGTTTTCTGAAAGTATTTGAAATGTAACTCAAATTTGAGAGAATGTAATTTGGATGTAATCCTCTGGCTGGATTAGTGAGCATGTCTCTGTGAATGTCTTCACAGTAATGTGGTGGGTGGGTTGTTTTCTAGTTTCTCGGCAGTCGTCTCTTGTTTCTGCTCTTTGGCTATTCAAGTCACACACAAGTGACTGTCGTTCTGCCCTCAGAACAGCTTATGCCATGGAAAAGGAAAGTGAAGGAAACTGCACTGTTGCTCACTTTAAACATTATAGAGAGCAAATACCAGCTTTGCTGCTTACCTTTTCCTAGTGAAGCCAAACTCCTGAACTGTATTATTTGGCAAATAAATAAGGTTGGTGGGGGTTTTTGAGTGGTTATTGCAAGTCAATTTATCGCTTGCTGGATCATGCAGGTTTGGGATGGGAGAGTAGACAACAAGTGACCTATGTTCTTTCTACCTTTTTGGCCTTGCTGGTTGAATAGAAGATCAAACATCTTCCCCCAGCCTTGCAAATAAGGATGGAGGATGACCATACTCCCCTGTCCAGTCTCTTATTGTCATTTTCTGTTGGGGGGGGGGCATAGACACAAAAGCCATTTTTCTTTAGTCTGGCAGCAAGCAATGCAGAGTACTTTTCACTGCCACCTCTGCATACTCTGCTGTGGTTTTGTGGTTGTATCTGTCAGTATATTTCTAAACAAATCTGATGATCTCTTCTTTGAAATTGAAGTCTGCAGATCTGCATTAATTAACCCATTAAAAGTGGTGTGACTGTCTAGAGGGATGGAATGATCCAAGGGTTGAAAGGCTTTATAGAATGACCTGAGAGGAACAGTGTTGTGAAAGGAATAGGAACTCTCCTCTTCTTTTTTATTAGCTATTGTAAACAGCCATTGAAAGATGATGTATATATTTAAATAAATTTTATATCATGATGAGGATGCTGTTTAAAATATTTGGAGGGTTCTTGGTGTATAGAAGAGAAAAATAGTTTTTAGTAACTGGAGATGAACACCTTGAAATTCAGATTTTGCATTGGATTGAGGTGGGGAACCTATGGCCTTTCAGGTGTTGCTGGACTCCATTTGCCATCATCCCTGACCATTGAACACGTTGACTGGGGCTGATAGTAGCTGGAGACCAACATCTGGAAGACCACAGGTTCCCTCACACCTGTGTAAAGATACTTGGGTATCATGAAGCTTTTTATTCTCCAGATTGGGAGTACTTGATTAATAGGTTCTATTTAGTAATTCTTTATTTTTTTCTTTAAAGAACCATGACATGACCCAAGCAATACATACATTGAAGTAAAGCTTAAGCTCCTCACAAAGGAGATTCAGTATTTGCTTCACAACTAGTTCCCCCTCCCCCCAAAAAAATTACTTCATAAAATCACAGATTCATGGGTGTGAATTTTCTCCTTGCAGGTTGCTGTGATTAAGACATTGAGTGAATCTTCTTTTAATCTGCTTTCCCCCCTTTTTAAAGGTGAAATTGTGGTGAATGAAGTGAACTTTGTGAGGAAATGCATTGCAACAAATACAAGTCAGTATGATTTGTGGGGAAAGCTGGTTTGCAGCAACTTCAAGATATCCTTCATTACAGATGATCCTATGCCACTTCAGGTTGGTTTCTATGCCTATTGAGTTCCATAATACAATTGCCCTTGGCTGACAAGAGGACCCAAGAGACAGACATCCATTGTGGAGGTCCTTGTACCCATGACCTCCTGCTTAGATTGTCTGCTGTAGCAGGACCCATCTGTAGCCAGCACACTTGCAATCCTGAGTCCATACATGTTCCAGGAGTAGGCCTTTTAGTTTCCCGAACCATTCCAGATTCCTTATCTTGAACCAAGCTTAATACCTTGGCTCAGAATTACCTGCATTTGCTGGGAGGGGTGTGTAGGCAGGGAGAAGCAGCAGAATAGCCACACATAGGTCTACTGGGCTCCTCCTGATGTTAGCTACCATATGTTCTCCTGGATTCTTCATTCAGCCCTAATGTGCCAGATTTTGAATGCTTAATAATATGTTGCTTACCCTGACCCCAGTGTGTTAAAGTGGATAGAGTGTTGAATTTGCATGGAGACCGAGGTTCATATTGGCTTCCAACAGTAAACCTTGCTAAGTGGTCTTGAACAAGTTGCAATTACTTGGCCTAACCTACCCCACAGGGCTTCTGTGATGGGAAACTGTGAGTAAAAATACGATAAATGAGTGACCTCAAGGAGTACCCTCACATCCATCCTCTTCTTACTGGCCACTGCCAGCTCATGCCAAAACTGTTGGTGATGCACTTTCCTTGACTTGGCTGCAGCTGCTTTAATGGACAGAAAGTTGTGGGAATTGCAGCACATCTCTGAATTACTTGGCTGTCATTTTAATGGCCTCGGCAGTGTGCAATACCAGGGAAAGACAAGGATCTGCTTCCTAGTACTGGGCACTTCCCTTGGTGGCTTTGCACATCCACTGAGAGCTAGGTAGCCCATTGATACCCAGATTCAGGTGGATAGCCATGTTGATCTGTCATAGTCATAATAAATAACAAGACTGATACTCAGGCATACTTGGCTTCTTTAGATAGCTCAGCTTAGAAGCTGGAGAACAGGGACCTGGCCTGGCAATGAGGGGTGGTGTTGGTTGAGAGATGGGCCACTGCTCGTTCCTGACCTTGTTGAAGAATGCTTCTGCTCTGATAATAATAAAGATTAATGTATCTAACATAAGAAGAGCCCCTCTGGTTTACTTAAAAGACCTCTCTGTAGGCCAGGTTATAGAAGTCTTACTTACCAGGTGAAGCGGCCTTGGAGGGGAAGAGCCAGAGTGCCAGTGGCCCCAACTCTTACTGTGCACCATGTGCTCAGCATCTTAAGAGAGGCACACCCTCTCTGTTTTTTAAAAGAAAAGATAAATAATTGCTAAAGCATCAGTTCTTTCCCACACTCTTTGAATTTGAAAATCCAATCCAAATAACTTTATTGCACTAGCCATTAGCCATGACGAATCTGAATAAAAATTATGAGAGTGCTATTAAAGAGTTAGAAATGGTGCAAAACCAATTTCTCAATTTGAAAATCGGTGCAAAACAAAATGCCTGGAATGAAAATAAATTTGATGTAACTCGCCATGCACTTCAGCAACAATCGTTCCCATTCATCAGCTCTTGTGTGCACACAAGTGCACTCATGGTTTTCTTACATGAGGAGGTAGATGTCTGGTGTGTACAAAGTGGGGAATCGCCACATGTGCAAAGAGCATTTTCCTAGAAGAGAACAGCAAGCCCGGGATTTGATCACAATTTACATTGTTTATTTTGCAAATGTAGTCTTGTTTTGTTTATAAACTTAAAAGTAGACACTGGAGTTTGATAATGATGCAGGTCCTGCTGATTTGTCTACTTGCATGTTGAAATTTTAGCGGGGAATGTTATTGTCATACATCTAGATTATTGTTTTAGTTTACAAGAAAATAGGAATAGTTTGGAATGAAATTCCAAAGGTACACAAAAATATGCTCAGTGCATTATGAATTAAAGTTCTTTTAGGGCACTCCAAATAGTAAACATATCTAGCATAATACAGTGGTACGTCGGGTAACATACGCTTCAGGTTACATACGCTTCAGGTTACAGACTCTTCTAACCCAGAAATAGTACCTCGGGTTAAGAACTTTGCTTCAGGATGAGAACAGAAATCGTGCAGCGGCGGCAGCAGGAAGCCCCATTAGCTAAAGTGGTGCTTTAGGTTAAGAACAGTTTCGGGTTAAGAACGGACCTCCAGAACGAATTAAGTACTTAACCCGAGGTACCACTGTACTATAAAAACAGTTGCACAGTATAGCTTAAAACTAGTATTAAAATATCAATAAAAGAAGGAAAGAGACAGCAGATATCTTACCAAATGTTGAAAATGCTTATATGGACATTAAAAATATACAAATAAGAACTAGACCACCAAATGAAATTTAAAAACTGCCAGATGATAGTAATGAGATACTGACCTAAAAAAGCACACCACCATGTTCTTTGGTGCATGTTAATTCTGTGTCCAGGGCAGCTGTCTACCAGCTCCACTTGGTATGACGGCTGAGACCCTACCTACCTGCACCCTGTCTTGCCAGAGTGGTACTTGCTCTGGTTATCTCCTGCATGGACTACTGCAATGCGCTCTACGTGGGGCTACCTTTGAAGGTGACTTGGAAACTACAACTCTCCAGAATGCAGCAGCTAGACTGGGAGTGGCTGCCAGGACCATATAATGCTGGTCCTAAAGGCATGAGCACAATTCGAAGTGTTAATGCTGACCTATAAAGTCCTAAACAGCCCCAGCCCTGTATACCTGAAGGAGCGTTTCCACCCCCATCATTCAGCCTGGACATTGAGGTCCAGCTTTGAGGGTCTTCTGGCGGTTTCCCACTGCAAAAAGTGAAGTTACAGCAAACCAGGCAAAGGGTCTTCTCAGTTGTGGTGTCCGCCCTGTGAAACACCCTCTCACCAGATGCCAAGGAGATAAACAACTCAATGACTTTTAGAAGACATCTGAAGGCAGCCCTGTACAGGGAAGTTTTTAATATTTGATGTTTTATTGTGTTTTTAATATTTTGTTGGGAGCTGCTGCTACTACTGATTGCTTCCTTCCCTCCTTTAGTTTCTCTAATGTAGTTTGCAGGAGACTATTTTTAGCTTAATGTTACTCTGAGTGGCAATAAAATATTGACCCTCAGCCCTCAAGATGATTGCATCTAACCAAACAAAGCATACATCACACTTCATCTTCACAATTATTAGGCCAAAATATAAAGTGAGTTGTGGTATTTATCATGAACTTATCTCCTGTATTCCAGAAATTCCATTACAGGAACCTTCTCCTGGGAGAACATGATGTTGCTCTAACATGCATTGAGCAGATAGTGACAGGTACGTATTAAGGAGCTGGATATGAAAGATAGGTTTTTTTTTGCTTTGGAAGGGGGTACATTTATGTTTAGGAAATTAAAACAGAATAGTCAGAATTCCCAGCTTCCAGTTCTGCCTGCGACTATGGTGGCAGCTCTCTGGGGCTCAAGAGAAGCTTTGATGGAGTGGAGGGGGATAACTGAGGTGCTATGCATCCCAAAACGCTTTGAGAAAATTCCAGGGGATCTGTGGTCCCCATTTGTGCCTGCTCCCTGCCTGCATGAGGGACAGGGAGGGGTGAGGCGCTGGGTCTTAAGCTTTCCATCACAGAGTCAGCCTCCATGTCTGCCGTGGCAAATGACAGATTTCTTTTTCAATTCGGATAATTGGATATAAGTTAAAGGCACCCTATGGAGAAGATGAGAACAGTAAGCTGCAAACAGTTTGGCTGTTAAGACTGAGGTTTTGTGAAGAAGGTAATTCCTGCTGTAGATGAGAGCTGGAAGCGCAGAGGGGTGGATGTTTATATTTTGTATTAAGGTTTGCAAGCTTTTTGTCGCATCTATGCCCTCTTGATTAATAGAATAAAAGTTAACAAATCTAGTAAACTTCTAGTAAAAGAGAATAAATCTGGGATTTGGTTGGAAAGAAACTGTGTATGTGAGTTGGTGGAGTAATGGCAACGGGGAAGGGACGATCTGCTTTCTTTTTCTTTACCAAGAGAACACTACCTACTTCACCTAAGAATGTTGAAATATAAAGAATTTAAAGTAAATAAGGATCTCAGGACACTGGAGTTGAGCACATTTGCTGTGGACAAGGATTGTTGGAACATACTTAAAACCTGTGAGAAAGGAAGGGAATGCAATGAACCCTGTGAGGAAGGAGTGGATCCATTTGTGCATTTGACCATGAAAGGGGAGAGGTGGGCATGGAAGTTTTCAAGATATTGCAGTATACCCCCCTCCCCGCTTGGCTTCATGGGTCAATATCTGTGATTATTTTAGTTAGACTGCATGGTGGGCCAGATGGTTGTCCTTGAGAACTCAACTTAATAATTGATAACAGACCACGAGCTTTGTGATATGAAAATATATCTTACACCAGTGATGATTTGGACAGGAAATGGCTTTGGTTAACAAAGATCTCAAGGGCACAATTGAAATTTGGGATGTTGGAACTGAGTGTATTTACTATAGACAAAGATTGTTGGAATATAATTAACCCTGCAAAGAAGGAGCAGATCTATTTGCCTAAAAGGTAATCTGGAATTCCTAATGGTAGAGTGCAAGAATTGTGATTTGACTGTGAAAGGGGAGAGGTGGGCTTGTACTGGTTATAAAGTTTTCAAGATATTACCATAGCTGTCAACGTTTTCCTTTTTTTAAGGGAAATTCCCTTATTCCGAATAGGAATCCTCGCAAGAAAAGGGAAAAGTTGACAGCTATGGATATTGCAGTACATCTCCCTTGGTTCTTTGGGTTGATGTTTGTGAAGATGATTGTTGGATTGCCAGATGGTGAGCCAGATGGTTGTCCTTGAGAACTCAACACAATAAGTAACAACAGATTACAAGCTTTGTGATGTGAAAATATACCACACAAAGAGGATTCAGACAGGAAAGGACTTTGGTTGAATGCACTATGGAATTGGAAAGTAAAGGGGAACAACTAGGGAAAGGATAATGCCAGGTTGCTATACATGCAAGATGTAAAGGGATTAATGACCTCACTTGTTGATATTGGAAATCTAATTGTTAAATAAATATACATTTATTTAATTTAAATAAATATACATTATTTAAATAAATAAATATACATTTATTTAACTGTATATTATAAATAAATTGATAAATGGACAGCTGGTGGATAATGAAAAAATATTATTTTTAAGAAATGGAGTGTGAATTAGAGTAAATATGCAATATAATGCAGCAACAGGGAAAACTATGGACACATCCAGGAAGTAGGGCGGGAAGTCACCAAAAATGCATGCCTTCTAAATGAAACTGAACTAAGAAATAGGAAGCATTTGTAACCCAAAGTAACAGGGACACCATGTAAGAGTTACCTGGTTTGGACAGCATGTACAGTTGACTCTTGGGCCAGTAGTTTCAAATTATGCCATTGTTTGTGCACAATAGTACAGAGGTGGGTTAGATTCTGACCAGAGGTGCAGTTGTTAGTGTTGAAATTGAATGAAGGAAACAAGTCAGCTGCAGAGCTCACTACAAAGCTGTGAAGCTCTGAACTCCTGGGAGGATAAAGTGGATACAAACAGAAGGATAGTCTATTGCCATTAGGCAGGTGCCCTATTGTTGTAGACACCTGCTGGAAAATTTTATTTGTACGCTACTTGAAAAACTTTTATCAAGTTATTTATACATTTTCTAATTAAATCAAAATAAATAAATAGTAAGCAGGTCAATGTACTCTTCAGATGGGAGCTGTTGTATATCAGTTTGTTTCTGTTAAGCATTCATAACATGGTTATTTGTTATATGCATAACTGTCTCCTTTTTATTTTAAAAAAATTTCTCTCTTGCAGTAAATGACACAAAGAGGAAACAGAAAGTTCTCGGCCCCAACCAAAAGCTTAAATTTAACCCAACAGAATTAATAATTTACTGCAAAGACTTTCGTATCGTCAGATTTCGTTTTGATGAAGCGGGACCCGAAAGTGCAAAGAAGGTATTGCAGCAGGTCTGATATTTGTCTTGAATATTGTCTAGATGGAGAATTAGCCAACAATTTATGGTTTTTCTTTCAAAATAAAAACCTGCCAAATAATTAAATACCATTCTGGTGTATCTGAAACTGGTTACTTGTGTTTCATCCATGGGTTAATCATTCCATTTACCACCATAAACATCAGTAAATAACTTTGAAACTATAGAGGTAAGATGATGTTACATGCTAGAATCTTGAAGTTGCTTGAAGTGACAATGGAAATGTGTTTTTACTTAGACCTGGCTCTCATTGAGGTGGTAGATTTGTGTGTGAACTATAACACTTGCCTCTGCAGATGGGGACTTGCATAATGGAATGTACCTTTGTATTTTAAAAAATTCCTTCCACATAGCACATCAGGGAGAAGCTAAGCTTGAACCCTTGGAGGGAATTGGTTTGGGGGAGATTCAATCTTGTGGTCCCCCACCTGCATTCCAACACCAGTGGTGCAGCCCAGACCACAGTGAGAACGAGGTCATGGGGTCCTAATCCCTTTCACTCACATTTATACACATTTGGCTTACAACTCTTATCATAGGCTGATTCTGAGGAGGAGCTAGCTAGCTCTAGCCTATATATGCACAACTATTTCTACTGTATCCCATATAGACATGAAGCAAGTAATTAAGTGGTGAAATCTTGCTTAGCACTTAAGCCCATTTAATGTAACGTTAAGGCTTATGGCTAAATAAATTTCCTTGTTTATCTTAAATGTAACTTGCGTATCATTGTCATGAATCCCGCAGTTGCTAAGCCAAGTCACTTAATAGGAGATGAAAGATTTTGGGTAGTGTTTTTAATGCTGGTGGCATTTGGAAAAACATATACTGGCTTATTCAGCCAATATATTTGCAAGCCTTTTGCCTGCATATACAGTCATTTTGCTCCATCTTTCATGGTGTGTAGCAGCCAGACCAATAAGTTTGTGTTATATCCTGGCTTGTTCCAAAGTTGGTAACTATTGTTTGTAAGAAAAGAAACTATTGTTTGTAAAAAAAGAAGAAACCATGGTTAATTAAAGACTTAATGGTTTGATTGCTGTGCACTGCAAAGGAGTGGTGCACTCGAGCAAAAGACTTGTGTATCCATTTCATAAGCAAACACAAAAATACAGTCATCCAAACCAGGCCTCTGTGTTTTTTCTAATCCTTGAAAAATATTTTTCATCGCCACCATATTAGGTTTTTTTCTGGTTCTTGCACTTGCAGAATGTATTCCTTGCCTGTCTTTGCAGCAACCAGTCTTCTAATATCTTTGTTCCTTAAATGTTTAATACACAGTAAAAGGGGCTTCTGTTTTTTTGGAACCACAATTCAGGTAAATGAACACTTGTTTCCTCTCACTCAGGCTTGGGTCCACCTTCTGAAATGTCACCACACCTTCTGTGACCTAAGGCCCACCGTCTGTTTTGGTGCCTGTTCCCTAAACTGCTGAGAGCCAAACTAGATGCAGTATGAGCTCATGATGGGATTGCCCAGAACCTTCCGCTTTAGTAAAAAATAGCAGTGTTATTTATCTAGGTTTATTTCCCCATTTGTCAAAGCAGTTGCATGGACATGGTAATTTAAAAGAAAGAAAGCAGGTAGGTAATTTGGGTCATAGGTTTCCTACATCTACTTTGACCTCTAGTTTTAGTGCATTAGTCTTCAGCCAATAAAACCCACTTCTGGGTCATCGCCCGATTGAAGACTCAAATACTCTAATGGTTCATTTTAAACCCCCTGAGACTTCACAGTAGAGGTTTTGTTGATACTAGAAATGGAAACCGTTGGCTTTATGCTGACAGTGGCTGTCCTTTGAGCTGCCAGTAGTCGAAGGTTAGGACATGAAAATTTACACGTAGCTCCTGGAAAGTTGAAGTCAGAGTTTTCTCTGGCAGATGCTTAGCATTTTGCACTTGTTTTAAAAACTACTGGATGAATATTTAGGCTTGGTTAAAGAAAGAACAAGAAGTCCATTCAGTGTGGCATCTGCTGTTATATTTGCTGTTTTGGTTTTAAATTTCTCATAGAGCTATATGTAGAGCTAAGGGCTTTACTCAAAAACAAATTTCAAGTGAAAACTGTAAATACTTAATATCCAGAAACCAATACAGAGACTGAATCAGCCTTAAGCATGCTTTCTTGTGCAGCACAGTGGTATTTTTTGTATATGAAATGCTTAAAATTTCATTCCCATAAGAAGTAACTAGGAGACATTTGGACTTTGAGATCTTTGAATATCTCAGTATATACATTGCAATATAAACATTGCTTATATTGATAGTATTAGCAGAATCTGTACTTGAAATGCATGATTTGGGACTCAAATTTTGTACATGTGTGATTGAGGGAGCAACATGACCAGCACATTGATAGTAAGATGCAGAATGCCGAATCTCCTAAGATCAAGAACATGCCAAAGGCTGAAAAGCCACTTAGCTGTGCCCGTCCCATTCTTCAGCTTGCTTTAACCATAAGGTAGCATTATGTTATTTTAGTGCTAAATATGGTATTGTAGGTATTCTTTTGTACCCAAGGCATGTAAAGCCACTTCCAACCCTGGTTTGGCTACAAAAGCAATGCTAGTTAGCGTCAGCCAGCAGAGGTGAGAATTTGCGCTATAAGAAGGAAGCAATGAATGCCCAGTCTGCTCCTGATACCTTAATCACAGTTTAGGGGGCCAGAAATGTTAAAATCTGCACCATCTGACCCTTTACCATCTTTCTTCAGTTTTTGTTGTTGTTTTTTTAAAGAAGGTGAGGGGTTGCATAGGACCAGTGGTGGGAGCCAGTTCATGCTGCTATCTTTCTTGGTTGGTATTGATCACAGTTTCTCACTTAACAGGCAGATGTAGATTTTGGGAACTGGCCGGTGTTTGGGCTGATCTCTACACTTCTGCTTTCGCCATAGTATTTCTCTCTAAGCATTTGTAGCCTTGAGTTTTAAAATCACATTCCTATTTCCTTCTGAAAACGGAGGAAGCCCCCTAGGCTTTTCTCTGTTGCAGAAGAATTCCTGATAAGTTTTGTAGCTGTTTGCATGGGACTAATAAAGTGATCCAAAATATTTATTGGTAATTTTCCATAGCTTTTTTTCTGTTCTGCTGAAACAAAGCTAAGCAGCCTGGAAGGAGGGTCCCTGTTACAATCTTTGGGAAGACAGAAGAGGAATGCTAATGGTTTTTCTTTTCTACAAATAAAGCTGACTGTGTTTGCACACTTGGTTCAAGTCTCCAAAAGTACGTCAAATCTTCCATTGCTTCCTTCCTGAGTCTCTCCTCTGGAATGTGACATGGGGAAGAATCCCCGGTAGTAGTTGCCAAGGGAGTGTTATTGTTCCCTGGTCAAATCATAAAGGCTGTATGTGTGGGATAGCAGACTGCATCTTCCGTATCTGCTGCCCTTCATATCAAAATGGGTGAGCCTAGTTGCATACCATCTGCATGCTGCAGCCGGGGGGGGGGGTTGCAGTCTTGCCTCCTCCCTCTCCAGAGCCCCTTTATTTAAAAGCAAATTAGAACATGAAGATTTAAAAAATAACTTCTACTATATTTGCTTTATTTTTTTTTCTTGTCATACTAAAAGAATAGGAGACAATGTCCCATAACCTACTGAATAATAATAGAATCCATCTGCAGTGAATTAGCCCTTCTGTTTTCAGTTTCCCTGACCATATGTGTACATGTTCATAGTGACTAATTAGCTTGAGCTATAAGGTGGTGACTAAATAGGGGTGGAAGGACAACACAAAACTCTGTGTTGCTTAAGTTTGTTATTCAGTTGTTTCTGCTGTCAAACTACAGCTGAAAATTCTCAAGGAAGACAAATAAGGTGGGTGTGGGAGGAAGTGAAGGGAGGGGAAGGAGAACATAAGTGGAAGCAACTAGAAGAAGTCAGCAACTTCAAAGGAAATGGTGCATTTTTAAGTTGCAGTCCAAAGTAACAGTTTCTATTGAAATTGGGGAGATGGTTATCTGAGATTGGTACTACAGCTAAAAATTCTTAACCTTGGCATGGGCTAATGACTAATATATCAGAAAACTAGTTTTTATTTTATTCCTTGCATTTTAAATTTCGGGAGCACCTGTATCTGCTTGGGTTATACAGGTTGCTCTATAGAAAGTAAAGGGTAAAGGTAAAGGGACCCCTGACCATTAGGTCCAGTCGTGGCCGACTCTGGGGTTGTGGCACTCATCTCGCTTTATTGGCCGAGGGAGCCGGCATACAGCTTCCGGGTCATGTGGCCAGCATGACTAAGCCGCTTCTGGCGAACCAGAGCAGCGCACGGAAACGCCATTTACCTTCCCGCCGGAGCGGTGCCTGTTTATCTACTTGCACTTTGACATGCTTTCGAACTGCTAGGTTGGCAGGAGCAGGGACCGAGCAACGGGAGCTCACCCCGTTGCAGGGATTCGAACCGCCGACCTGAACGGCAAGTCCTAGGCTCTGTGGTTTAACCCACAGCGCCACCTGTGTCCCTCTATAGAAAGTAGCAAAGTGCAAATGTTGTCGTTCAGTAGCAAAGTGCAAATGTTATTGTACACACTGCCAGGAAGTTGTGGGTTTTTTGGCTGTGGCCATTTCTCCAGCGGCCCTGCTTTGCCTGACAAAACTGCCTGTCTCGAGCAGGAAACTCTTTTTAAAAAGCAATGTTGCTTGTTATGCAGGGTGCTCTTGATCTCTTCCCATTCTCTGATGTGAGAGCAGTTGAAGATAAAAACCTGTCCTCTGCTAGTTTCTAAGAGGAAGAGCAGAGCATCATTACACAGAAGAATCAGTTGGGTAGGATGGGAAAGAGTGATTGTCCGACTTACGCAAAATCTGTATTTAGTTTTTGTGGGGTGTTCGATGGCTGTTCTTCTACTTTTCCCAAAAGCACATTGTCAGTATAAGACATCAAAGCTGGCTTGCATGCAGAAGGTCTCTAAGTAGAGCTGGGAGAGTTTAAAAAGTTTAGACAGTGCTGAGAGAGATGGACCATTGGTTTGATTTGGTAATAGGGCTGGGCACCTACCTGGGAGTCAAACCCATTGAACTCAGTGGGGCTTATTTCTCAGCAGACATATATACTCTATAGGATTGCTTGGAAAGTGGTCTTACCAAGAAGAGTTATGACTTCTCTATATTTGGCTTTGATCCAAGTGTGTCTTCACTATTTTATCACCCATGCTGCTTCCACACATTTTTAAAGGGTTCTCCAACCCTCAGGAATGACTTCAGGAGGCGGCTGTAGCAAGAAAGGGTAGGGGGTTCTTTGGATCCAACCCTTGCTTATTTTTTGTTTAACAAAAATGCTCCCAGAAAAAGGGTGGGCAGTGGTAGCATATATCACCTGCCACATGGCAGTACAGTAAACCTTAAGCGGTGTGGATCAACAAAAGCTGGATTTAGGGGGAAGAGGGGCCTTTTTGTATATGAAAGCAGACCTCAGCACTGCTTTTGCTGCACTGTGAGCTGCTTTCAAGAGCTTTAGCTTGTGTATCCTAAAAGTTTATTCTTTGCACACTAAGCACTTGGGTGGGGCAGTGTGTGCAATGAAATAGAGAAATGTTTTCTCATGGCAGACAGAAAAATCTTGAACTTTCTCCTTTTCCATGACATTCCGTGTAAGTTCAAGGAATTTGCCATTTGGCATTAAGAAACTGCTTTCATTAAAGCCCTGGACAATGGCACCACTATGTGTAGTTTCTGTTCTAGGCATAAATAGCAAACAAACCAGGCGTTTTGTAGAAAAATAAATCAGGATTTCCAGGTAGATAGTAATTTCTCTTGTCAAAAAATCCATGTGGCCATTGTTTTCAACAAAATCCTGTGGACTGTTTCTGTTCCTTTTCCCCTTGTTAAAATGCAAGTAAGGATTTATAGGGGAAGAAAATGTGCAACACGTGTAATAACAAGGCAGTGGCATTAGGCCTTGCCTATATTTGTCTGCCATCGTTTGGTCCCAGCTCCTGCCCACCTAGCAGTTCGAAAGCACCCCTAAGTGCAAGTAGATAAATAGGGACCGCTTTCTAGCGGGAAGGTAAACGGCATTTCCGTGTGCGGCGCTGCCTCGCCAGGTGCAGCTTCGTCACGCTGGCCACCTGACTCAGAAGTGTCTTCGGACGGCGCCGGCTCCCGGCCTCTTGAGTGAGATGAGCGCGCAACCCTAGAGTTGGTCACGACTGGCCCTGACAGGCAGGGGTACCTTTACCTTTACCTTTTATATTTGTCTGTATGTTGCTTTGGTCAAGGTGAGAATGAATGGACTTCGTTCAGATTAGAACTGTTCCATGGGATAAAGTTAGCAATTTGATATTTTTTTAAGTCAATGGAAAATTTTTTTTCTTCAATGCCTGAAATGGAAACTATGGGCAATATTTCTTCTCTTTCAGAATGAGTGGGAATATGTTTAAAATGGAATTTTAAAATAATATGGTAATGCAGCTAATTCACACAACTGCAAATCTATTCAGAGATAATAATAGCATTGCTGCAGCATCTACCTAGGTATCAGTTCTGAGTAGAAAAATAAACTTATGCTGGTATTTTCAAATGGACATTATATTCTGGGCTGAAACACAATATAAAACAAATGAACATGGCATCAGGGTAGCTAATACTGTCTACAGGTAATATGAAACATGCAAAACAACCACCACCACCCATATTTGCTTGGAAACAAGTCCCAGAGTGGGGGTTATTCCTAGGTAGGTTCATTGAATTGCAGCTTTACTACTCATTCGCATCACGGCATAGCATGGCCACTTGGTATGCTGGTTATTGCTGAATAAAACCTAGAGACCTATCCATGTTAATTTCATAAATATACTAAACAGTACATTTCCCCCAGGCTATATACATTATATACGTGTTCTTGAAGTAACACAGTAAATTTATATTTGAAATATTGTGAATATGTAAACTAGTTCCCCAGATTCCTTAAAAGTTTTTTATTTTCAATTTCCTGCAACTTCAAGCCTTTCTGAAACTGTATATCAAGTCGCACAGAGGACCCTCAGGATAAAGGAGTGATGCTTCCCTCTGAAAAATGTCAAGAGCCAAGAATAAGCCATGGCTGACTCTAGCTGCCTAGCAAAAAAACATAGTCATCTTTCTGTTTAATGAAATTGGAAATTGGATTTTAGAAAGCACGTTAGTGACAAAAGCTGGGATTCAGATAACTGCATAAGCAGTTTTCTTCACCCAGGGAGGGTTCAGGCTTGTGTCATGGTTTATTTTACGACGCCTGGTGTCCACTGGGTATGGCACAGCCCTTGAGTATGCCTAAGGAGCTCTTTTGATCATGATCACTGTTAATAGAAGCCAAAGTAGCTGATGGCACTTGGAAGTTGGAGGGATACAGCTCGCCCTTCCTTAGACAAAATCACATAGTTTTGCTTTCTCTAGTCCGCCATTTCCTCATGCAGTCTAGTATTTTCTAGTAAAAAGTGGTTGGAAGCAGCTCAATGCACCCCAGTTCTTTTTGTTTTCCTCTGTTCAGGTGTGCCTTGCAATAGCTCATTATTCCCAGCCAGCAGATCTTCAGCTCCTCTTTGCATTTGAATATGTGGGCAAGAAATACCATAATCCAGGTAATGCAGACATTTACTTTCCCTCATACCCCTTGGAGGGGCCTTTTGGGTGAGAGCATGGCTGCCAACTTTTATGGGAGCTTTTTGGTGCAACCAGGGGTTTGTTTTGGAGGGTGTCATATAAGCAGTCCTACTTGAGTGGTAGTACATGTTTACATGCATAGAAAAGCTCACTAGAAATGTATCTGTGCCTAAGTGTGCTGGGGGAGGATTGCAGTTCTGAAGCTAGAAGAGAGCCCTTTGCTCGTCAATATGCACCATGAAGGCTGAGCTTTCATCTCCCCTTGCTGTGTTCTGGGTTTGCCAGAGGAGAAACAAGATATGCTCAACGGAGTTTTGGAGTTCAAGGTAGTCTGGCTGGAAAAGAAGAACCAGCTTGTGTCACATGGGAGTGTTACAATGGTGCCCTTCCTACCTTTTCTTCCCAGTCTTGGTTCCTTGGCTGCAGTGAGAGAATAGATTTGCAACACCAAGCTCTACTAATGAGGCTAGAGTCACTTCCACGTAGACTTTTTGTAGCAAAGTAATCTGTAGGGGGAAGTATTTGAAGGTTGCTCATTTAAAGAACCTCTCAAGAATTAAACCGCTGAGGAAAGGAGTGGTAGTTTTCAATATGGTAGTTGGTTTAGCCTCGAAATATTGGGAATCTAATCCTAAATCCATTGAAACTTATGAAAGTTTGCATTAACAGAGGCATTCCTTAAAATGGCATAACATGTTGTCACAGATAGATTAAACACATTAAATTAATTTGACATATGGTAGGGGCAGATCAGAACTTCTCTTTGTTTCCCCATTTAGTGCCAGTTCATGTCTGTCAAAACTTGGCCAGACACACAATGGAAAATAATTTGCTTTGGGGGTGCTCTGGCCCCTACACAGCTGTATTTTCAAGATAACTTAACAGTTTTATATAAAGCAGCATTGGAAGTTTGGAGGTCTGTTTGTTTCCTGCAAGATATTGTACATCTGTTTATTTGCATGGCACAACTTGGAAAGAACTTTTTAAAAAATCACTTCCTTCTAGCAAAAAAAGTGAATGGAATAGATCCTGGAGGAGGTGGTGGTGGGCAGCTGACTCCATTGTTTGAGACATACTCTGACTGGGATAGAGAGATCAAGAGAACAGGAGCATCAGAATGGCGTGTATGTTCAGTGAATGAAGGCTACATGATATCTACCTGGTAAGTTTGCTTTTCTTTTATAGCCAGGAAACCACACTGGGATTGAGAGGCAGAGTTGGCCTCAGGGCACAACTCCATTCCCTAGCAATGAGCCTCTTCTCAGTGATCTTTTGCAACCGGATTTTGAAGCAGTTTGTGAAAACAACACTGCCATGGCTGTTGTTATGAATTGCATTGGTACATAGCTAACCACTCTGTCTGTGAGCCACTGGCTGGTAAAACTCTGGTGCTTTTGCAAGAGGAAATGGTTTTTTTCAGATTGCAATTGAAATAATGCAGTTTAGGTTCCATTTCTTAGTAAAGAATAAGCTAGCTCTGCATTGTCATTAGAGATAATAATGACCAGATTAATCTTAAGATTTCTATTGTTGATTTCTAAACAAAAGGAAAACATTGACACTTCAACTCTTGGCTTTAGCATTCTAATCAATGCTGCATATAAAAAGACTTTACTTGTATTACATTTCCCAAGTAACTATTATGAGTGTATTTTGTCTTGGCCCCAAGTCTTCCAGAATACTTTGTTGTGCCATCATCTTTGGCGGATCAAGATCTCAAGCAGTACTCCTACTCCTTCACTGGAAGACGGATGCCAGTAAGTGTGAAGCTGACATTGCTGCTTAATTGGTAGTGTTGCATCCCTGCTAGAGTGCAGCCCACTCCGCTACACAACTATGCAAGGGATCTGCAACTATTGAGTTCCAAACCCTTTGGGGTCAGAAAGGAAAGGTTCAAGGAAAGTGTAAGAGCAGCCCCGGTGAGGGCAGATTGAGGACTCACTGGGCTCACTGGGCAGTCAGACTCGCTGGAAGCCTAGAGCCCAGGACACAAGGCCTTCCCTGCTATTGCACCCTAGCAGTTGTCATTCAGAAGTACACTGCCTCTGAATTTGGAGATTTCATATACCCATCATAGCTAACCGTGGAAAGTCAGAGTCAAGGAGGAATAAATTTCAACTGTCATCCCCACATCTCGTGGCAATGAATTTCATAAATTATTTCTTGGATTAAGAAATCTTTCAGTCTGTCTCAAATCATCTTCCTATCAATTTCATTGGGTGACCCTGAATTCTAGTGTTATGGGAGATGGAGGGGGAAAATCCCCCTTTCCACCCAAATGAAGTGTAGGGAGGGGAGGTGGCAGATGAGGATATCATAGCAATAAAAGAGCTAATGGAGTGTGATTGTGCTCATGTCCTGCTTGCAGGTTAACCATCGGCATCTAGCTGATCGCTGAGAACAGAATGCTGGATTTGATGGACTGCTGTTCTTAAGATATTGTGCAGGGCAGGAAGGGAATAGAGTTCTGTAGGGTTGTAGGGTGGGTGGTAGTAGCCTTAGGGTAGGAGGGACACCCCTAGAAACTATTCTGGATATTTTAGCCTTGTGAAGGCTACACTTCACAATGTTAATGTATTTCTGGCATTTGCAAAAAGCATGCTTTTTGGGTGGCGCTGTGGGTTAAACCACAGAGCCTAGGGCTTGCCGATCAGAAGGTCAGTGGTTCGAATCCCCGCGACGGGGTGAGCTCCCGTTGCTCGGTCCCTGCTCCTGCCCACGTAGCAGTTCGAAAGCACATCAAAGTGCAAGTAGATAAATAGGTACCGATCCGGTGGGAAGGTAAACGGCATTTCCATGTGCTGCTCTGGTTCGCCAGAAGCGGCTTAGTCATGCTGGCCACATGACCCAGAAGCTGTACGCCGGCTCCCTTGGCCAGTAAAGCGAGATGAGCACCACAACCCCAGAGTCGGCCATGACTGGAACTAATGGTCAGGGGTCCCTTTACATTTAATACCCGGTTGTATTTTTCCCTGGCTCCTGAATGCTATCTTTTAAGATATTGTTAATACCATGCTAATTTTATTGTGAACCACCTTTAGATTTTTTAAAATGAAAGATGGTATAGAAATGCTTTAAATTAAATGCTGAAGATAATTTTGCTTTCTGGAACTTCAGCAGCTACAACCAGCAGCCTGTGACCTTTCCTTCATGAACACAAAGATAGTGAGCTTCTTATGGTCGTTTAGAGGTGCTGTAGGCTTGTTGAATATAGTCCTTTGCATGACTTGTACCTTGCCTTGTATCCACAATATAAAGGATTCACTTTCTTCTAGATGTGGTGCTGGAATCACTCCAATGGAAGCGCACTTGTGAGAATGGCCAGCATTAAAGACCAGTTGCAACAGCGAAAAATAGACCAACGGTAAAGATGGTAGTATTGTTTGCTTAGTGGGCAAAATCAGATTCCCTTTGACCCAGAGTTTGGAGATTTTTGGGAAATGTGTATGTTCTTAATGTAGCATAGAAGCAAGTAGGAAATATGTTAAGGTGCAAGTGAAGGGGAAGATCCCTAACCTTTGTGAGAAGTATCTGTGGGGCAGAACCGACGTCCTTTCACCTAACAGTAGGACCTTTGGCAAATGTTGCGTGACCCTTAAAAACTCACCTTTCTGCAGAGAACTTAGTGATCAAATTCTGCACCATGTGCCACATCTATTATCTCATATTCTGTTGACAGAGGAGATGAATATCCCTGAGTGTTGAGTTAGATAAGCTAGTTGCTCTTAAGCATTGTTAACTTGGGTCATCAAGATCAGATTCTCTGTTGGTTGTTGAAGGCTATATGGAGATGGGGGGGGTGCTAATATGAAGGTATGTAGTTGTGCTTTCTGGCCCCCATAGGTAAGGGCATCATCGTGCCAGTTGTTCCCTGGTTACAGGGTTCTTTCATATCTCATACCCCCACAAAATAGGAAAGCAGCAGCTTGCCATTGCAAAGAACACTAGCAACCATGCCCAGTCAGCTGGTAAAAATGCTTGTTATCAGTTTTTAGGCCAGAGGATCAGCAGGGGAAGGAAATACTCTTAGGACACAAACTTTCCCTTCATGACCAACTTTGCTTCAGTACTTTTTTTTATGCTAGGATTTGCAATGCTGTCACTAGAAGCCATCCACAAAGAAGTGATGTTTACAAATCTGATTTGGACAAGAGTCTGCCAAATATCCAAGAAATCCAGGCTGCCTTTCTCAAACTCAAGCAATTATGTGTCAATGGTATGTTCTTGGCTGCTTTTTTCTGTAAAAAGTGTGCAGTTGGGTATCTCAAGACAGGAATTCCCAACCTTTCAGGGTCTGTGAGCACATCTAAAATTTTAAGAATTGTTTGTAGGTGCAGCCGGAATAGCTGCCATGTGTGGGGGTGACTGGTTTCAAAATGTTCAGAGTGCCTTCTCTATGTCTCCATAAAGTTGAAAGTGTAAGGGAAAAGATGCAGGCAGGAAGATGCCTGTCAAGTGGAGCTCACCCTCCACCAAGGACCCAGTTGCCCAAAGGTGCTTGGCAGCGACACATCCCTCCTTGTCCCCTGCATTTAACCAAGGAGCTCTGTGGCTCCCATCATCGTGAGGAGGTGCGCATCTTAACACCCATCCACCCAAAATGCATGACCCAATGTTGGGCTGCATCCTGAAAATAAGAGCCAATGCTCCTATGGTGAAGGACTTGTGCTGCCGTCCACTTGGATGAGGATATCCAGGAGAATACAGAGCCTTGCAGGCCCTGCATTGAGAACACTAGCACTAACTTTTTCAGAAGAAGCAATGGGTAGGGTGTGTTTCTAAATACATCTGGTACAATGTATGTGTCTGAATTCACACGCATGTCCCTCACTAACATGTATTCATTCACACACTATCCAGCTGTTATTTTACTATTATCTGTGTGGAAACCATTCTTTTACAGGTGCTGGTAACTAGATTACATGTGCTGATCTTTACATTACGAGTTCAGGATGTCTCGTCAATGCCTTCTAGAACATGTTTGAGATAGACTGGTACCAAGGTCTAGAAAAGTTCATAATGAGGACCCCCCCCTTGCATATTAAGCTATGCCTACCTTTATTCCTGCCATGATCTACAATAATAAACCACAGAAAAAGTTCAGATTGTCACACACCTATTTACACATTCTCCTTGTTCTTTAGTCATGTCTGACTCTTCATGACCCCATGGACCAGAGCACACCAGGCTCTCCTGTCTTCCACTGCCTCCCGCAGTTTGGTCAAACTCATGCTGGTAGCTTCGAGAACACTGTCCCACCATCTCGTCCTCTGTCGTCCCCTTCTCCTTGTGCCCTCCCATCTTTCCCAACATCAGGGTCTTTTCCAGGGAGTCTTCTCTTCTCCTGAGGTGGCCAAAGTATTGGAGCCTCAGCTTCCTAGGGACCTTTAATTCTGAAGACCTGGAGAATACTGTCTGTGCCTAAAAGGCTGTTCATACATTTCAGGAGTAGAATAGGGACTTTAGGCTGGTTAGAAAACCCTAATTAGCAGGGTGATAATTAATGGCAGAGTTAACAAACTGTGGATAAATGGTGGGAGAGGTTGTGCTGTACCTTTGAGGGGAGCTAGCCCATCCCTGATGCCTTAACCATAGTTAAGAGACATGTGGCATCTCTCCCTACTGTACTAGTCCTATGTCCCAGCTAGCTAGTAACCTGTTCTCACAGGAGCTACAAGCAGGGCCTGAGCAGAACAGTGCACTGCGCTCCTTTGATTCTCAGCAACTGGTTTCCGGAAGTATACTAGTTTGTCCCCAATGAATGGTTCCCTTCTAAGGGGAGTATTTCCCTCTTCGAGAGTGCCGCTCTCCTTGCCTAAGACGCTCATTCTCCCTGACAGTAGGGAAGGGAGGGATTGTCGTGAAGTAGGATGCAACTATAACAACCCTAACCGGATGTTTGCCTCCCTTAGCTTTTTTAAGTCTACCACCGTGGCCTCAATGAACTGCACAGCCAGGCACTCATTGCACCTCAGACACACCCACGGTTTCTCTCTGACAGGGAGAGTCCTACATGTGACACAGTGCAAAACACTAGAAAGCCTCCACACCCTCCTGGCACTCAGCCCATGGAATTGTTTTTGTCATTTAAGATACTGTATATTAGATCATAGAAAGAAGGGGCAGATCATTGCATCCTGGCCTGCTTGCCCTGCCAGGGAATGCACATATCTCCTTAACACACCTTGACGTTTTGTCATCACGGGATTGCATTGGGAGTGAACAGGAGGTGTTGATTAAGTGAGGAATGGAGAATGGGCAATTGGCTTGAGTCTGCTGGGAGTTTACTCCTCTAAAGACAGTAATATCACTATACAACTCTCATCTTTCAAATATGGGGAGCATGATTTCTTACTTCTTTTCTCTTCTGGTCACAGAACCTTTTGAAGAAACGGAGGAGAAATGGTTGTCTTCACTGGATAATTCACACTGGCTAGAGTATGTGAGGTATGTGCAGAAGCTGCAATTAAAAATCTCTGTTGACAGATTTATTTGCATCCTAGATCAGATGTCGGCAACCTTATCCGAGGATGGGCCGGTCGACGTTCCATCCGTCGGAGGAGGGTGTGTGCACACGCATGCTCTTCCGGGTCGGAGGAGCGCCCATGCGCACACTCTATTTCCGGCGCTCCTCTGACCTGGAAGTGGGCCAGAAATAGCATATGCGCATGGGCACTTCTCTGTCCCACACACTATTTCCAGCGCACCTCCGGGTCGGAGGAGCGCCCGTGCGCATGCGCACAGGCACCATCAACCTGGAAGTCACAGCACCAGTAAGAGGGGGGGTGCAGGGGTCACCATGGGCCGGTTAGACAAGCCTCGTGGGCCACTACTGGCCCATGGGCCTTAGGTTGCTGACCCCTGTCCTAGATGTACAGAAGATAAAATATTGACAATCACTGTGTCACTTTGAAGTGAGAGACTCAATGAGATTCTCTACACAGTTTGTAAAAAATGTTGTTCTTGGACATATACGATTCTGGGAAACTAAATTTCACTAGAGATTTAAAGTGAGTTTGCCTCTGCAAATATCTTGCAGTGCACAGCTTATTCCAAAATAAAGCTAATAGTGGACTTGCTTGAGTATTGAATAGTTCTAAATAATTTAAATAAATTAATATAGGCTTTTTTTGTCTTGGTCTAGACTTTTCCTGAAGCATTCCGCAGAGCTTGTATACATGTTGGACTGTAAGCATGTTTCGGTAGTTTTACATGGTAAGCTGCTCAAGTGTTTTTAAGCATGTTGATGCTGCTGCAGACATTATACCAGTATATTTAGGAACAATTGTAGTAGCTGTTATCCACTACTCAAAGTGTGGACACCATTATTAAATTTATCCTTTCCACTGTGTTTATCTCTGAACTCTTTTTTTAAATTATTATTAAATTTGTATACTGCCCTTCATATATCTCAGGGCGGATTACAAGATAAAAATACAAGATAAAAAAACACAAAATACATAATAAAAATATGAACAAAACAAAACCAATAACCTCCACCCCCTCCTCTTAGCCAGTTCCCTTCCCGGTCCTTGTCTGGTGTGCCTTGGCCTTGTGGCTTCATGACCTGAGCAGTGCAATAGGTGGTTGTGCCTGCCAGGCAGCTGTGCAGGCAGACTCCCATTCCCCTCACAAGGAGGCCTTTTCTGCCATATTGTCCGCAATAGTCTTAAAAAGCTCCCAGAACCCAGTAGCAGGTTAGAATAGGAGGCTTTGCCTTTATGATTTTTGGAAACTTTACTGTTCAGAGGTGGTATTAAAAAGGTAACCCTTCTTGAGCTTGAAGAGGTGCTGGTAATATAGGCAGCCCATTACTGACCTCCTCTTCTACAAAAACAAACACTGTGCTGATTCACAACTAAATAAACACAGTTCTGAGCAAGCAGGTGTGTTACCATTTTATTGTAACCTTCTAAAACTGATGCTTATAGCATTTATAATACTTTGTAAGTGGCTTTGAGGTCCGTTCGAAAAGCATTATAAAAACAAAGCACATGACCCTGTGCTATTTGTATTGTTGTTAACATCTTTCCCCCCCGCTCACTTCATATTTCTTTTTTTATATCACTGTTACAAATGTCAACTACAGAGGAAGAAGGGCGTGACCTGAGCTGCTGTGTGGCTTCGCTCATTCAAGTGATGCTGGATCCCTATTTCCGGACCATTGCTGGTTTCCAGAGCCTGATTCAGAAGGAGTGGGTCATGGCAGGGTACCCATTTCTAGATAGATGTAACCACCTGAAGAAATCTGACAAAGAGGTAATTGAGGTACTTAAGGCTGTGGTCTAAACCACTGAGCCTTGAGCTTGCCGATCAAAAGGTCAGCGGTTCGAATCCCCGCGATGGGGTGAGTTCCCGTTGTTTGGTCCCATTGCCTGCCAACCTAGCAGTTCGAAAGCACGTCAAAGTGCAAGTAGATAAATAGGTACCGCTCTAGCAAGAAGCTAAACGGCGTTTCCGTGCGCTGCTCTGGTTTTGCCAGAAGCGGCTTAGTCATGCTGGCCACATGACCCAGAAAAACTGTCTGTGGACAAATGCCAGCTTCCTCAGCCTGTAAAGCGAGATGAGCGCCGCAACCCCAGAGTCGTCCGCAACTCAGCTGTCAGGGGTCTTTTACCTTTACCTATTTTATACATTTGAAATGGATTTTTCCAAGGAAATAACAGGATTTGGGGAAATCTCTGAGGGCAGGAGGCCAGAAGAGTGATGGATTGGGAAATGCACAGAGAGATGAGATGATGCACTTTTCTTTCAGGGCTGTAATTATTTGAGAACTGGTTTTAAATTTGGGACATGCTGGAATGTGTTGAAGGGGATTATTTGAATTGTCAAAATTTGGACTGTGACTTCAGGTCAGGAATACAGCTGAAACCCCAACTACCTTGGGCAGCTCTGGCTGGCAAAAAAGCAAGGGAGAACTGGCCTCCTTTTGGGATGCATAGCACCATGTTAAGAGCATTGTGCTTAATGAAACAAATCCCCCCTTTTTAAAGATTTTTTAAAATTTATTGTCAGTAGTACAGAAACTTCCCTCCAGTGAGTATGTTTGAAATGTATTTAGGGCCCGGAATAAAACTGGCAGCCAGTGCAGTTGGACCAAGATCGGTGTAATACGCTGAAACAGTCTTGTTCCAGTTAGCAACCTGGTTGCTGAATTCTGCACTAGCTGAAGTTTCTGTACCATCTGTAGAGGCAGCCCCATATATAACACATTGCAGTAATCTAACCTAGAGGTAGGGAACAAATCATTTGAAGTCTATAATGTGATATCGGATTCATAATTTTTGACCTGGCAATATTGCGAATCGTATGTGTGTGCGTGCAAAAATCATGATGCAGGAAAAACCATGAAGCCAGCCAATGCCTCTACATAGCTCCATCCTTATTTCAGACATTGTGATATATCAGTATGTTGTGATCTTTAGCTGGTGATATATCATGAGTTGCACCTGGGCCACCAGCCAAAGGGCTGATGGAAAGCACTCCACACCACTGAGGCCACCTGAACCTCAAGCGACAGCAAAAGATCCAGAAGGCCCCCAAGCTACATACTTGTTCCTTCAGAGGCAGTGTAACCCCATCAAGAGCAGGCAATCTCTCGGCCATCCAGTCTAGGAAATCTCCCACTAACAGTCTCCAAGTCTTATCTGGATTGAGCTTCAGTTTTTTGGTTCTCATCCAGTCCATTACCAAGGCAAGACAATGGTCCAGCATGCACACTGGCAGATGTAAGAGAGACGTAGAGCTGTGTGTCATCAGCATATTGCTGCCAATGTACTCTTGATGACCCCACTCAGCAGTTTCATGTAGATGTTAAACAGCATGAACCCTGAGAAACTCCACATTGAAGGCTCCACATTGAAGCCAAAGAGCATTCCCCTCTGGAAATGACATCCATGTAGGATCGGAACCACCGCAAAGCGGTGCCACCCACCCCTAACTTGGACAGCCACTCTAGAAAGATACTGTGGTTGATGGTATCGAAAGCCTTGAACAAGCATTGCTAATTTGGGGTTTGATTTACACAATCAGAATCAGAAATTATTACCTTCAGGTTGGTACTATAGGGTTTTATCTTGGATGTCCCCTGTCGACACAAGCAAAGAATTTCAGGGTGTTTACATATTTCTGACTGTCCTGAGTCTTATGGTTTCTGTGGGACTACAAATTCCACCCTGTAACTATTGACATGCTCATTGGTGTCTTATCTTACCAAAAGTTTTCAGCTGTTTCATGAAATTTTAAACAAATCTGTTTCAGAAGTGGCTGTGCACAATAATAGATTGTACAAGCAAGCCTTTGAAGAATCAAAAGTCCTGAAGTTTACAGAATCTTGTGGGATTAGAACTAGACTTTTTGTTCTAACAGAATTGGTAGCTAGGTATAAGCTTTGTTGCAGCTAATCTTAGAGCCATGCAAGACAGAGAATTACAAAATAGAGCCTAAAAGCCCAGTGTTGGCTAAAACAGTGGTTTAACGGAAATTTAAAAATGCAGTTAGTTAAAATCAGGGGAAGAGTGATTTGGGACCCTAGTACATTGGTGCTTTTGAAATAAAATTCTCTCCTCCCAAGCCATGAGAAATCTGACATTACTCCTAGCATAGGCTTCAACAAGCACTATTTTCACAATTTTTTAAAAAAAAATATTTTCTGTAACCATGACAGACAGAATCTTAATTTAAGGAAATATTTATGTCCTCTAAAAAAATCTGAATGAAGAGCTGTCTGCCAGGCAGAAAACTACATTTCATGGTTCACTATAGTTCACACAGCTAAGTTACAGACTACTGGCTCTAGTCAGAGGTACTTGAATGTAAAGTAGGCATTTCCATATGTGTTACTCCAGTTTGTACACTTGCTTTGTAGTGCATTATATTTTTAATAATAATCTCAGCATTGATTTAATGGTGACTGCAGTAAATGTAGGGCTTGAGCAAACTTGCATAAGTCTTCTGTGTGTAACATCTTCCTATCATTTCCCTCCCACTCCAGTCTCCCTTATTTTTGATGTTCCTGGACTGCGTCTGGCAACTGCTTGAGCAATACCCATCAGCCTTTGAATTTTCTGAAGCTTACTTGACGATATTGTACGACAGCACGCGGATCTCGCTGTTTGGTACCTTCCTCTTCAACTCTCCACATCAGAGAGTGAAGCAAAGCACGGTGGGTGCTAAACATTGTCTGACCTCAAGTAGAAGCTGCAACACATGGTTAGGAAGCTGGAAAACCACCTCCAGTAGTCAAGGTGGAAGCCTCTTAACTGTTGTGCCAACAAGGGATTGTAGCTCACAGCTATGAGATGGAAGAGCAGTTGGCACATTAAGGACCAAAAAATAGACTCTGCTGATTTCTTATTTGTATATTGAGTTTTAATTAACAGTAGTGGTATTTGTCATCAACATTGCTAACGCCACATGCGAGGAACAAGTTGCCCTTTGGTCCTGTGGTATTCTTGCCCTAGATTGTTAACCATCAACTTGAGAGAAACCTTCAGCAAAACCGCCTGGGAGAAAGCCATTATGATCAATAGATTTCAATATAGGTAGAAAGTTTGGGTTTTATCTTGCCTTTGTTCCTTACCATTTTTCTAGAATTCTTCGAGCACAAATGCAAAAATACCTTTTTAAAAAGTTAGGATTCTTATGGGATAGGTTGAGACACAGCCACATTTGTATACTGGGGAACCGTGGAAAATATTTTGTCTGAATAGTTCTGGGGTCTCCAATGCAGAGGCCTGCAAGGCACTTCCTCCCTAATGCTGTGCATGATTTCTGTAATTTTCCTTTTATTCTCGACACACAACACACACACAGTGGGAGGTGGGGTATGCAGCTATAGCTGTGCCATTGGAGCTGGGGGAGGAGAAGCAAGGAACAGGCTTTGTCACCTTGCAATTCCCCTCTGGAACAGACAGGGAAAGGGAAAGTAGCATTCCTCAGGCTTATTTGACAATATACTGGTCTGGCTCTAGAGGAAGCCAAAAGGTTAGGTTGCCTGCTGTTGATTTCAAGGAGGTCATTCAGTTGAAGGTAATATCATAAATTGGAAAGAGCATATGAGACTGTTTCAAAGTTGAAGAATTTCATTAACCTGCTTCAAGAAGGCTTTAGCAATTGGAAGAATTGTGTTTAAATTGAGGCTTTCTTCTCTCTCCTCAGATGTCCATAGATGCCACAATGTTTGGCCTCATTCATTTTAATAATGTAATATAAATATAACAAAATCTCTAAGCAGTTCACAGAAGCTACAATAATAAATTCACAATGAAAAGAATCAGTGCATATCAAAATCCAATAAATCATTAAGCAAAGCATCACAAAAAAATCCTTTGTGTTCCATTACCATAAAGAGAGGGGAGAATGCAGGATCTTATTTTTCTGCAAATAAAGGGTTTTATATTTGTTGGTGAAGTGGGGTTGAGTGTGTATATATGTGAACTTATCTGAATTTTCTTTCTTCCAGGAATTTGCCATAAGCAAAAACATCCAGCTAGGTGATGAGAAGGGCCTCAGATTTCCTTCTGTTTGGGATTGGTCTCTTCAACACACTGTGAGGGATCGTATGCTCTTCCACAACCCCTTGTACATTGGGAAGAGTGCACCGTGTGTGCACAATGGGGCTGTGAAATACTTCAAGCGATCAAAGGTAAGAATGGACCAGTGAGTCAGTCCAGCTATGCCAGTGGTGCTTCAGTTGAGCTGCTGCAAAGATGGTACCTCATTGCTGTTGGAACGGGATCCATTTTCAGTGCACTGGGCCAGTGCCCTTGTGCAGCCCAGCAGTGTCCTGCTGGAGAAAATCAAAGAACTGAAACAGGGGCAGCACATCTAGTCCCAACTCACTGGTCAATGCAGGAAATCCATAATGAGAGCATTCCCAGCACTGGGCTGCCCAGTCGCCGTTTGAAAATCTCCAGTAAGAGAGATCCCATCTATGTAACTGGCTCAAGAAGCTTCTCCCAATGTTCAACTCAAATCCTGTCCTGAAACAAGTCCATTAGATCTTATCTTGCCCTCTGGGGCAGGTGAGAACAAACAAGTCTTTGTCCTCTCATAGGATCTTCAGGTAATCAAGTGGTGATACTTTCATTTATTTCATACTACATTGTTCATGAGAACTCTGCTTCAACTTTCCAGGTAAAGCAGTTTTCTAGCAGGTGATTCCCCACCCTTAACATGGTTAGTGGTTTTGACCTTAACTACCAAGGAAAGCAGTGTATGCTTGGTTGCCTCCAATCACCACGTGATGATGATGAATCACCACATGATTCAGAGATAGTGGATGAGGGAATCTGGGGGCTGCCTACCTACTGACAATGTCTGCTAGGAGAATATAGTTAGAGGAGGGAGAAGGAAACTGATGGGTGGCTTCCCCAAATCATTCAGTCCCGATTGGTGGGATGTCGTAATACATTCAGAAGCCCATGAGCTGGGCCAGTGGGTGTTTCGTTGCAGTGTTTCAGTCAGTGCTTTTCTTCTGTTTTTAAGGGCAGGTACCGAGTACCCCCAGGAAAAAAGCACTGGTTTCAGTGATTTTTCAGAGCAGTCTTGCCTCTTATGCAGTAGTCCACCAGCCAGAGCTCACACAAAAGCCCATGTTGTAAGTGAATTAGCTTGCGGGGGGGGGGTGTCTCCCTGCCTCCTCTGCACCCAGCATAGAAACAAGCAGCCTGCCGGAAAAGGGAGCCCTCGTCTTCCACATGCAGCAGAGAAGTTACTTTCAGGGCCCGATTTTCAAGGTTTCTTGGTGTGAGTACTGCATTTATTGCAAAGTTATTTCTCAGAACTGTTTCTCAGGTCATGGGATAATAGAAAAATAAGGAAGATAATTGTATTGGACCAATGACTTTTTCAAGTTCACACATATCTTCTGCTGACATAATAAAAGGGTAGCTAGTTTTTAACTTACATGACTGTTTTTTTAAATAACGGAACCATTTTTTTTAGCAGACAGATTAGGCACAGCACTTCAAACACTGACCTGCATGAAATTCCATATTAGTGTGGTTATTTTTTAGAACCCTCTACTAGAAAAAAATAGTGGAAGTGACTAAAATACTTGCATAGATAATCAGGTTTGCTCTCCATATAACCAGGAATTATCCACTATTTCATCCTACCTAATGAAGCACTTACTGCTGGTGAAGGATTGCATATGCTCTTGCTAATGGAAAGTTTCTCATTTCCACATGCAGCTTTGTCTCATTCGCTTTTTGGCCCCAGAAAGTACTTCATCATTATATGGCATCTGTTATTACAAATGGTGCTGATTTTTCCAAAGGAGATTTGACAAATTCATGGAAGAATAGAAGTAATATAGCCCATCATTTTGGGCTATGTTAATAGTATCTAGAAGTAATTATTCCAGGGATGGGGGTGGGGTCTACTTAACTGTAACTGGAGCTCCGTGGAGATCAAGTTGAACCTGATGGGAAACTGAAGGTATTTTAGTAACTTTTCCCTTCCCAGAAGAACTACAGTTCAACACTCAGGGGCCTCCCGCCCTCCCTGAAGAACGGTATTATCAGCGAGCAAGACTTTCTTCCAAGAAGAAATTCCCTAATACTAAAACTGAAACCAGACTTTCTTCACCATACGGATTCCACCACCAACGGCATGGAGCAATATTTCAGAGAGTGGTTTTCTAAGCCAGTCGACCTGCATGGTGTAATCCTGCCCCATCTCTCTGGAACACAAATCAAACTCTGGAAACTCTGCTACTTCCGCTGGATCCCTGAGGCCCAGATCAACAGTGGGGGCTTCATTACGGCCTTCCATAAAATCTCTTTATTAGCAGATGAAGTCGATGTTCTGAACCGGTGTCTGAGGCAACACAGCGGTACCCCACCTCTGCTCACTAACACTTCTGAACTCGATCAAAGCCGGATGTACTTTAGAGCCAATGGGCTCAGTGATTCTTCCACAACCCCAGACTTCCTTTCTTCCTCTTTCCCATTTTCTCCTGTAGGGAATCTCTGCCGACGGAGTATTTTGGGAACACCACTGAGCAAATTCTTAAGTGGTGCCAAAATCTGGTTGTCCACAGAGACACTTGCCAATGAAGACTGATGTCTTTAGAGACATAGAAGGGAGACAAGGAGGAGACTGACACATCATTTTTTGCAGCACACTGCTAACCACAGCACCAGAAACTGTAATAGCTTTATATACTAAGGTTACTTATGTTTTGCACAAAGTATTTAAAAGCAGCTGTGTCATGCTTTCAGATCGCACAATTTTTATTTTTATTTGGGTTTTGTTTCATTTTTCTTCAGCAGTCCAATAACTAAGGCACGTACCATTGGAGGTTAGTCTCTCCACAAACACACCACAATCTAAGGTCTGATTGTGTTTTGTTTGTGCCCCAAAGCTGCTATTCCCTGCTGCTGATTGAAGCACATCTCTTGTCAGCTTGGATGAATTAACAGGTGAAGACAGACATTAGAGTCAAAAAAGTTGCTCCATCAAATTCGATCGCTACAATTGGTACAGATATAAGAGCCATAAATTTTGTCAGTCACGTTTCAAATTCATGGCATGATTCAGCTGAGGGTAGGGACTTTTAAATCCTGTTTATTTCAATGGTACTTTATAAAAGCACCTTTCCCGTTGAAATAAATTAAAGTGTTCATCTTGATCAGGTTGGCTATGGGAATGGTGGAGATATCTAGTTTAGTCCATGAGCATTTTTCCTCTTTTCATTTAGTATCTGAAACTGCCTTTTAGTTTACAAAATCTGCCTATAGGACAACGTGTGCTGACCTCACTACCCCAGTCCCTCAACTGGGGTTTGCTTTAACTTGTGGCTAAGGCGTACACTGGCAGCTGTGTTAGCTTGGCCTAAAGGATTCCCCCTTCACCTAGGATCAGCAGTTGTGGTTTCAAAGTAGGTGTCAGTTCCATCCGCTAGGTTGAAAGGAGTCCTTGGTAGCACTAACCATAGTTAAAGTGGAGAGGAGAATTAGCTGCCAATCTCATTACCATAGTTTGGTGTCATTACAGCTGAACAAACCTCAAAATAATGTCAGTCGATTATAGCCTTAAAAGTGCCTTTTCTTGCTTTTGAAGTAAGATTTCTCTCTCTCCATCATGGAATTCAATTACTCTAATGTGGTAAGCTAATAGGCTACACATTAGTAGTATCCATTTCCAGAATCTCATTCATACCACAATTTATGGACGTTTCCAAAAGCATCTTAACCTTTGACCTTGTGATCAGGAATAGAAAACTTAGAGTACCTCTGAAGTATATATTTAACTCAATGGGTACAGAATATTAGATGGAAGATCTTAGGCCCAAATTAAGATTGCTGTAAAATGTCTTTCAAAGAAAATGCCTGTACTTGTATTTAAATTTTTATTTTAAGGTCAAGTTTCGTGCTCAGTGGATGCTGATTTTTTTTAATGGCCAAAACAAAATGGCATGCGGAATGTGTGGGATAGTGGTGTATGAAAGAATTAACTAGAAAACCTTGATATAATAAGAGTTTTTTGGGCTTTATTCCCATGCCAGTAACATCCCAGTTTACTTACCGAGTACCATACTGTTGCATCATTTCACACGTGGTCATGAAGGTGGACTAAGATTCACATTCAAAAGTGGTCAGCTAGTTTATGCCGTGTCTTCAGTGGCATGTGCCAACATCCAGAAAGTGACTTGTTTTTGTGCAAAATCAGCTCTACAGTAGAGCATCATGCCCCCTTTCCCCAGCTACCCCTTCCAGGTCTCTTAGCTTTTGCACATTCTGCCCCTGATCCAAAACATGCATGCAAAAGCCAAGTGAAAAACTGCCCTTCTGCTGCTCAATTGTCTGGCAGGGTTTAGGGCTTGTTTAAAGCCGGGCAGCCTCACTCGCTGCAGATCAGAAGGCTTCTATGTTTACAGGAGCTGTGTGTGTGTGTGTGTGAGAGAGAGAGAGAGAGAGAGAGCACGAAAGACTTGGATTAGACTGGGATGTTGGGCATGCAGTGCCATCTTCAGCATGCCCAGCCCATTGAGCACCTATAGTCTCCAGTTGCATTGGGTGTCTGTAAAATACTGTAAACACCCCCCCCCCTTTGCACACTTGACCAAGCTTCCACTAAGTGAAAGTCAGGTAGACTAGTTTCACTGGAAAACAGGCAAGGGCTGATCAGTATTGGCTACCTGTCCAAGGCGATTCTCTTCACAAGTTTAGTGTCTTGTTAGAATGGACAAAGCTTTGTTCCCCTAGTGTTAAATTTCATCCCATGTCCAGTTTGTATACCAGTTCTCTTTGTACCAGATCATAGACTTTATTAAGGTGACTTTATATTGATTTTTACTTAATGCCTAATAGTCTTAATTACATTTCAGATGTACCAAATTTGCTAATTAACTGAAAGTTGGGTGAATATACTTTGCAAGAATTACTGAGTAAGGTGTTTTAATGTTTGAGACATGTGTCCCTTCCTTACAGGAGTTTTTTTAAAGTGCATTTTTGTATCCTGTGCCCTTTTTATCCTTTTGATGTTACTGAACTTTGCCTTTAAGAATTGCTGCCTATAAACTGTCCATACCCAATGGATTGGATCAAACGGCTTTAAGACTAGAGAGTAAGCTAAGCCAGGTTTATACGGTTAACTCCAGGCCAACAGTGCCTGGGTGGCTGCCCAGGTTCGTACTACTGTAAATGAAAGAGACTGGGAAGGAAGCCTGTTTCGCAGGAGAGCCTGAACTTTGGAGTGCCGGGCCTGTGATATTTTTAACTGGGCAAAATGCTGTGAGTCCTACAATCAGAAATCAAGGAATTAGTGGAGTGGGGCTGGTGAGCAGTGCTTTCTGATCTAGCCTTGCACAGTCTTGTAATCACATAGTTATGGTGGAGTTGTTGCCCCTCCCCCTCCTGCCCCGTCATATGACGACATAGAGAGAAGTCTCTGTGGTTTGACTGAAGTGGGCTGGGAGGGGCTACCCACGTTTCTTGATGCAGCGGTACCACAGGGCAGGGTGGAAGACAGGTGACTTGCCTTCTGGGTAGCAGGAGACATTTAAACCTTCACAAAACCCCGAGGTAGATTGCAGCAAGCCCTTGAGGAAATCCAGGCTCCATTGCTTATCTAAAGGGCTATGAACTGCCTATGAACTGTCAGGCTTCAGCCAGCCCCCTCTGCTATATGCAATGCCTTCACTCAGTTCAAAAGGGGGCTTGTAGGTGGGCACAACCCAAAGGGATTGTACTTTCTAAAACCAGGTACCTTTTTAGGAATTTTTTGTAAGTGTAGAAAAGAATAGATGCTTATTTTTGTATTTTTTTCACCCTAGCAACAAGCAAAATGCAGCTGCAATTATTAAAGGATATTTTTTGTTTAAAAAAGCAGGGGGGTTGGTGTATGGAGTTCTAAATGGATTATGGTCCACGTAGAAATCAATGCCTTTTAGTTACTGCAGAGTGGAAGTTGACTGTTACGTAACTTATCATGGAAGTGCAATTATATTTAACCCCTTGTGCAGGTCGTGAACCAAAGAGACACGACTGAAAAGTGTGCGTTTCACATTGGCAGAAGGAATCCTGTTTCTAGAGTGGTTGTTTTTGTAGATTCATTTTCAGTTTAGCTGTTAAATCTCCAAAGAAAAGGTATACATTAAAACCAAACCTGTTGTAAAATTTTATTTAATTAAAGGCTGAAGTTGTTAATCAGAAAATTGACTGCAGCAGTCAGGACCCCCTGCAACTCAGAGGGTGAAAGAGCCCCTCCCCCTTTTGAAACGGAATCTAAAGCCTTGATGCCGAAAACTATGCCTTACATGAGTAAAGCAGAGCTGACAGGAACACCTACAAAGAAAACCCCAACCTGTCAATGTTGTGAATATGAAGTAAATCAAGACGTAATTAAAAACAAACAAACCTTCCGGTGTAGTCTTTGTTGGTGTGGAACTTGCGACTTTTTAAGAATGGTGTGCATTAATTTACATAGTACAGTTACCATCCATATGTACCTGAGTGATGGGACATATCTATGTGAGAACAAGGTTTAACTATGTTCAGTGCATTTGAAGAACATTTAAGTGGCCTTTTTGCAACGAATTTATGAAGTGTCACTTTGGCTTAAACATTCCCTATGTCCACCAGCATAAAGTCCAGTAGTGTTTTTCCGGGGGGGGGGGGCAGTATTGGCAGCCAAGCCTTCATAAATTGGCAGTAACCCATTTACGGTGGGGCAGAGCTGAGAGCTCTGCTCCTGTCACTTGCTTGTCTTTGCAACAACAGGAAAAAAGACTAAATGCCGGCAGAGAGAAGGAACAAACTTTCTTACAAAGTTTTAAAAAGTAGGAAAAAACTTGAGGACTGTTTTCAGTCACATGCTTGAGTATGGAGGGAAAACTTCTGAAGTAGGTATTTAGCTGTTTCAGGTTTCTGCACTTCAGAATTCCCTTGCTGTAGTCTAGAACTTAACCCTAGTTCACCAATTCTGCAGATGACCATACTGGGAGGGGTAGCTAGTGCCAAAGACGACAAATCAGAATTCAAAATTACCGCAGCCTTAAATATTTGAGTAAGATTGGAGAACAGAGACCATACTAACAAAATTAATTTCAATTGGGACAAATGTCAACGTCTGCATTTAGGCAGGAATAATCAGCTGCAAAAATATAAGATAGGAGACACCTGGCCTTGCCAGTGGTCCCTGTGAAAAGAATCTAGGGGTCTTAGTGGACCACAAGCTAAACATGAGCTAACAGTGTGATGCAGCAGCAAAAAAAACTAATGCTATTCTAGGCTGCATCAACAGAATTATAGTGTCCAGATCAATCAAGGCACTCTATTCTGTCTTGCTCAGACCACATCTGCAGTCCTGTGTTCAATTCTGGGCACCACAATTTAAGGATGTTGAAAAGCTGGAACGTGTGCAGAGGAGGGAGACCAAGATGATCAGGGGTCTGGAAACTAAGCTTGAAGGAGCTGGGTATGTTTAGCTTGGGAAAGGAGAGACAGGAGATATGATAGCCACCTTCAAGTATCTAAAGGGCTGCCACATGGAAGAGGGAGCAAGCTTGTTTTCTCCTCTTCTGGAGTGTAGGACTTGAACCAGACATCAGGAATTACTCTCTGGTGGTAAGAGCTGTTTGACAGTGGAATGGACTCCCTCTGGAGGTTGTGGGCTTTCCTGCCATGGAGGTTTTTAAGCAGGTTGGATGGCTATCTGGGATGCTTTAGCCAAGATTCCTGCACTGCAGGTGGTTTGACTAGATGACCCTTGGGTCCCTTCCAACGCTACAATTCTATGATTCTAGTTTAAAATACACAAAAGCTACATGTGTTAAAACACTGCAATGACAAAACCCTTAAAAGCCTCTCTGCTAAATAAGAGGACATTTTTTGTTTTTTAAATAAGGCTTGCAGTAGTTTAACAGTTTTTGTTTAAGATGGGATACTGTTCTTTAACAAAACTCTAAAGCAATAGGTAGAATCCCCTCTAAGTCATTCTCAGATCCCTGCAATTGAGAACCTTCAGCAGGGTGGCTCAACCTGTGGGCCACATGTAGCCCACAATGCCTTTTTGGTGGCCCTTGGAATTCATCCAGAAGAGCAGCAGCTGTGAGGCATGAGCGAGAGTCCTGTCTTTTCAAACAACTCGATGCCTCTGCCGCAGCCCCCAGCCCTGGAGAGCCAGGCGATGGAGCAGCTCTTGCTGTTGCATAGGTGTACTAGAGACTGAATTGTTATGGCCTGTGAAGGGCAACATGTCCCCTCTTCCTCCTTTCCGGCACAGCGCTGTACAGCAACCAAAGTTCCATGTTTATGACTTGTACCATGGGTTGCTGTTTGTTTGTTGCAGCATGGTGGGTGGCTTCTTGGTGGCTTTCATCCTTGAACCAAGAGCAGCTCCGGTAAGTGGAGGGGAGAGAGCGGAATGGCAAACCAGTTGGCTGTGCATGCTCATGCAGACCCTTCGGGCTGCTTCTCTATCATCAGGCACCATGGATGAACTTTTGTTAAGGCCACATAGGCTGTAATCCCCGGCATGCTTACTCTGGAGTAAGACCCATTGGAATAAATGGGACTTACTCCCTAGTAAACAAGTACAAGTTCAATAGGTAACCTTTACAACAACGCCCTCCAAATGTTGCTGGTCTGTCATCCCTACTGATTGTCAGTCCTTGTTGAGGATGCTGGGAGGCGGGGGCAGGAGCATCTGGAGGGCGGCAGGTGGGCAGAGCAGGAGACTGGCGGGGGCGCTGGAGTCACAGTGGCAGCAGCAACCACTGCTGTTGGTTCTCCTGTTCCTTTCTCCCAGCCTTCCCGTAACAGTTGCATGTTCTGCGGAGGGCAGGGAGGCAGTACATAGCCTTTTACTATAATATTTGCATTAAATTCTTAATAAATGTATCAAATCCACGAATTGTGCCTTTAATTATAAATTTGCAATTAAGTGCACATATTACACTTTAATTTACAATATGGGAATTTAATTCAGTGAGTGACCTGCGGGTTCTTTGTCAAAGTACTCTTGCAGCTCACTTGGTCCAAGAGGTTAGACTGCCCTGCAAGAGTGGGACTGCAAGTCATGGCTCTAAGCTCAGTCTGACTTTTGCAGAAAAATGCAATAATAATTAAAGACTCTTTTGGAAGAGTGTCTTTGACTTGGATTTAGGAAAAGGGCAAGGAAGGCTGTTAAACATACCCAAGAGCCCATTGCTGTGGTTGTCCGAGCGAACTGCAAAGGCCAGGGCTTTTGCAGGACTGGCAATGCGCAGCCCAGGCTGAAATGAGCCACATGGTGTGACGTCAAGGTCACCACTACCACTTTGAATTGAGCTGAGCCACCACCTAGCAGTGTTGTTTCCAGAAAGAAAACACAAGCCTGCTGCATTTTGTCCAAACCCGTGTAGCTGAGACATTCCTCCTAGCATGAGACAGCAGGCAGCTGCAAGGCTTAGCTGAGGCAATGCTTGATTTCTAGAGGGCTGTCGGAACAAGGAAAAGCAGCCAGGGCTGCTATGTGCAAGAAAGGGTGCAGAAGTTAACTTAATTCAGAGGATTCCCATGAAAATGAAAAGTCACCTCCTTTCTCAGAATGACATCTGAATTTGTGTTGTCTTAGCAGCTGCATGCCAAAGGAACGAGAAATGTGTCCAGCTTTTGTTACTCTGGCCTTGAGCCCAGCAACCACAACAGAGTCTCAGCTCAAGCGTTTACTTTTAGATCCACTTGCAACCACATGGCAAACTTCCACTGCTGCACCCAGCTTCTGCAACTCGGCAAGCCATATCATCTGCTTGTGAGAAAGGCGATCATTGGGGCCTTTGACTTCCACCAGCTGAAAAGATGATTCAGAGAGAGAAGGAGAAGTTTCTCAGTAGGTTTCAAAGAACTGCTTTAAGGGAGTGGGCTGAAGGAGGACTAAGGGTTTGCATCCATTTGGTTTTTTACATCCTATGCCCTGAGCCCTGCCCTCAGCCTTTCCCACTTAAATCACATACATGAAATCTGCCATGTTAAGCTCTAGGTCCCTAGGGAGAGCCAACTCTTTTTAGTTACATTTCCATCCTAAACAGAAGTTGCAAGATGCAAAGATTTGCAGCCAGTGCCAAATCAAACCAGAGCAAATGAGCGCATGCCAGGTGGCCTGTTGGCTCCAACCAGAGGAAAGCAATTATAGTGGCTCTTAAAAACACTTTTAGCACAAGGCTGATTCTGATGTAATCTTTTGTAGACATCACTCATCAGAAAAAATGACGACATGGTTTCTTTATTTGTGGTTTGTGTAGAGAAAAGGAGATGGGATGCAGAACTCAATTACCTGACTGAATTGTTACAGGTGATATCCAAGCAGTCCAACTTGGATCTGCATTTTGAATCACTGAAAAATTCAGATGCAATGGCTGCCTGATGAAGCCAGTTTCATAGCATGTGTCTTGTTCTTCCCACAAGGGGAAAATAAAAAGAAGCGCGCTTTCCTAAAGGTGCACAAGTTTTGCAACCTTGGGATCTTTTAAGTTTGTTTAGCAGAAAAACAACAACCAACAGGATGCAAAATCATTATTCTGAGGATTTTTAGTCAAGACTTGCAGGTTCATCCAGAGAATAATGATTGATATCTAATCAACTACTAGTGCTACCCATAATAGTATGCAATGTAAGACCACAGAATCAATAAAATTCCAAAGAAACAAACCCAAGAACACTTTAAAAAAAGCCTGCCAAGCGAATTGTGCCTGCCAAACCTCTCTGAGGAGCAAGTAGTTCCACAGCATTGGGGCAACCACTGAAAAGGTTCTGCTCCAGCCTAATGCTGCTCCCTCCACATTCAGGAGATGCTGTTTGCTCCAAAGCAGCTCATGCTCAACAGTAAAACACTCCAGCCTGGCTCCAGCCACCTTCCAACTAGCCTGAGGCAGTCGATGCTCAGAGCCCCAGGCAGAATTGCTGCTTATCAGCCTCATTTCTTGATATAAACAGCTCAGATATCATTTACACTGATGACTGCAAGATGGGGGGGGGGTTTATTTGGCTCCACCTGTTGGGCACTCTCATGCATCACATCCCTGACCTGTACACTCTGCAACTTTAACAATGCAGCTGGGGTCAAACCTTAAAATGGTGATCTTCCGTTCTCCAAACGACGAGATCAGGGAGGCCTCCCCTGCAGTGACGCAGATCTCTGCTCAGCTGTCGGCAAACTCCACTCAGGAAAGGACCCCCAAAGCAACACGCCAGGTGCTACAAAAAGAAAGACCACTTTTTCTCCCTTCTCCCAAACTGCAAGGTGCTAGAAGACGGGATGGGAACCTCTGGCTCATGAGCCCCTCGGCCCCCAACTTCACTCTCCAATGATAAGGGGTTTTGGTTTTTGGTTTTTTTAAAGGTTTGGCACAATGGAAGAATTTTGAGAAACCTTACTACTGCCAAGAGGGGGCCGACGGGAAGGGTTAACCCCTCCCTGTGCACTGCAACCCCCACAAAGATCATCTCCTCCCCTGGGGAGGCTACAGGTTAACTACAGAGTAGATGAATGAGCAATGAGCAAATGGATGTGTGTATGAGAAGCAGCATATATAACGGTTGTAATCGTACACCAATGAGCACTAACTGACTTCTGCAACAACCTCATTTGTTGTTGTTTTTTGTTTAATTTAATAAAATTTATTCGGGCACCGAAAAGAGTGCAGTGAAGGTGCCTGCCTGATTTCTGACAGGCAGGGAACTCCTAAGTGCAGTTCTAACAATTCATCAACCAACTGCATATTCATTGATGTGAACACTGATAAGACTTCCATAGATTCACGTTGCCACATTATTACGTCACTTGCCAAAATCCACTAGTACAAAACTCCTCAGGCAGCGCCCCCCCAGCCCCCCTCCAGAAGGGTTTCCTGCCATGCCATGGCTGCTGGGTTTTGCTTGCTTGCTTTCTAGCCTTGAGTTCAGAGCAATTCAAAAACATTATTTTGTAACTCATATACCTCAAATGCCATTTTTTTCAGTAAACTATAGAAGAGGCACAAGGCCTCAAATTAAACTGAAGTATCAAGCAAGATTGTAAGAAGGGAACCAGGGCAGCTCAAAGGGCCTTTGACACCTACCTGGGCCTGCTGGAGGGAAGAGAATCGGTCCCAGCTGATTAACGCTGCCGCTTTGCCCTCCTGAGCATTCCAGACATCCGCAATCCACTTTTCCAGGGTTTCAGGCGAAGCCTCATGCAGTAAGCGGAGCCTGGATTCAATGGCCTCCCTCCGGTTCTCATAGAAGCTGTCAGTGTAGAGATCCAGGGGGGAGGTCTGCAGGAAACGGACTGTCAGTGTGGCCCCATCCCTCACCTACTGCTTCCCCTGCAAGAAAGAGGCTGGCGACACAAACCGCCTTAAGTTGCCAGGGTGCAGTAAAAGGCAGAGAGGCCCTAAACTACCACTTGTGGGCTTATTTGGATACTTAATACACTGTCCTCCTCCTAAGTGAAATAAAGCAATCCATAAAGTAACACAGTCCTTGAAATACACAACAAACAACTCCGAATGATTTTCTATTAGCAGCAGCAACTAATCCGTATATCCAGCTGGGTCTCTCCTCCACAAACACCCACAGAAAATATGTATCTTAACCAGGCACCTAAAACTATGAAGAGATGGGAGCAGACACATCTCAGTTTGGGAGAGAGGTTCACATGCAAAGAGCCACCACCAAAAAGGCCCCCACTGCACACTTCATCCAGGTGGGTTCTTTGCCTTCTGTGGGCTAAAACGGCTGGCTGAAGAACCTCAAGATCTCCACTTCATTTCCTCAGTGACTCCGGCTCACAACTGTGTCTGGATGTCATCAAGCTGACCCCAGGCCACACGTGAGTTTTGCTCTCTGGAGCCACAGAAGTAATGGCTCCTGGAATACGATTGGGAACATCTGGCAATTATCCTGGTGCAGTGATAAGGAAACAGGAGCTCAGTTTTTGACTCAGCCATGAAACCCACCTGGACCTAAAAATGTAAGATGAGATGGTCCAGCACCCCATCCCCAGAGTGGGCAACCAGAGGCCCCTTATGGGAAGCCCAAAAGCAGCACAGGATGGCAATAGCCCACTTGTGCTGTTGCTCCCCAGCTCCGCCTCTGATCCTGGATGTAGCTGAGAGCCTTCCTGGCTAGTATGTGCAGCCCCTGCTATAGCCACAGCCTTAGCCTGATCTTCCATGAATGTGAGCATTAAAGCCACCATCTAAGTGGGTGGCAGCAAATTCCACAGGTTAACTGCACATTTTGAGGAAACATTCTTCGGTCCTGAATCTCCAACCTTTCAGCTTCATTAAATAAACACAAGGTCCGGTGGGATAAGAGATGGGAGTAAAACTTCTCTATCCATTTCCTGCACATGATGCTTGAACCTAGACACCTCCACTCTGCCTCCCTTTGCTCAGGTTCTTTTCTCACGGGGGAACTGCTCCAGCCTCTTGACCTTGGGCAGGTTCCTATCTCTGACCCCTATCCTGCCTACTTCACAGGACTCTTTTGAGGGTCAAACAAGATGTATGTAACTAAAGAGAGAGGGAGTGAAGGATAAAAATGGTTTTTTAAATTATTATTACTTTTTTTGCAAGCTGTTGTGCAAATTAGACATCACAATTCTGTGGCCCCTGCTCAGCCAATGCGTTCCCATAACTGCCTCTTCCTTATAGTTATTTTAAAGAGAATAATGAAGATGCAACTCAAGGCCACCAGCCCTACTCCAAAAACAGCCAGCAAATACCAAATCCATCGTGCGCAGGTATGCTCCCCAAAAGCTGTGTATTCTGCAACAAAATTCCCAAAATTGTTTTTGAGGCGTTTCTCTGGGAGAATTCTGCGACTTTAAAAGAAGCTGTTTTGAATATCCTTTTCAAACATCATCCACAAGAATAAAAAGCCCTTTAGAAACAAGCAAACATACCTGGTAAGGATTCCTGAAGACATCAGGGATGCCATCCATGAAGAGAGTATCCCACATCAAGAGGCCGTAGAGGGTGCTGAACGTAGATCCTTCGCCATGAATCCCTGAGGAATTATCACAGCATCACAATCATGAAAGCCACTGCAGGATATTTAAGCTGCCAACCAAAAATTGCTACCTCTGACACCCAGTTTATCACTAACACAAAGCTCAAAGATGCACAGAGTACAACTCAAAATGATTTGAAAATCGGCAATGATGGGGACTTCTGGGAGGAAAGATGACTGACTAGATGTCAACTGCAGACACTCCCATTGGCAGAGATAATTATGTGGTGATTAACGATAACCAAGACATTAATCTTGGTTGTCATGCCCTCCCTTGTGAGATAGTGAGACCTGAGATTATCCTCACATGCTCTGAAGAAAGTTGTTTGTCACACTGGACACAATAAGTTTTTCTGTAATCAATGTTTACTGAAGGTTTTCCACATAAGATACTATAAAAATAGGGGGGGGGGAGATGAGGAAAGGAAGAGAATAAAAAAGGAAAGAAGGAAAAGAAGGAAAAAGGGAAATTACTAAGTCTTCCCCCAGACTCTCACCCTGGGAGTTCCTCTCTGCCCTCTATCTTCAATCCATTACCTTCCTGTGTGTATCTTCCTTGATAAAAGATAAGGAACTTCAAATTGCAGAACAAAACATAAGGATAATTGGGGCTGGGGGGGAGGAAGAAGTCATAAGTAAGATTTAAAAAGTTTTGTTGTTGTTTCTTTTAAGGAAAGTCTTCCAGTTCTCTGCCAATTATGTATATTATTGATTTATAACAATTATTCAAAAATGTTGGAAGTATGCACTCCAGGATAACTTTGGGCTCTATTAGTGTCCAGCTATTTCTCCATCTGCTAGGCAATGTTTCCTCAATCTTCATTCCCAGACCTCTCACATTCACCTTCCTCCACCCAAAAGACGACTAAAAGAAGCTCTTCAATTTTTATTATCATTAAATGTCAGTCACAATCCTTCTCCAATCTAATATGATGAATTCCAACAACTCTTGACTGCGCTAGAGGTCTTCTGGCCAACACCCACATTCCACGGTGACTGTTCTTTCCAGTCCCTCTGAGGGTTGTGAAGAAGTTCAGGCAGAGAGGAGGGAGAGAATGAGGCATGACCTTCTAAGCATGTGAGGCTAACTCTCTTATTTCAAAAGGGAGTTTTGGTAACCAAGATATATATCCCAGTTATCTTAAATTGCCACATAATTATCTCTGTTGATAGGAGGGTCAGCAGTTGATGCCTAGTCCGCCACCACCTTCTCTGGAAGTCCCCAGAGACAAAAAGGTTTGAGATGCTGAGGAGCATCTTAGGAGCGAGGAACCACCATCGTGCCCAGATGCGATATAATAGCCCTCAAGGTTAGCCTTCAGGGCATCAGGTCTGCAAAACCTACCTTCTTTCAACTACTTTAGAACTTGGAAGCAATTACAACTTGGGTGACCTATCTGCCAGTTAATTTTCAGGACACAAGCTGATTACTACGTAAAAAGAGGCATTAGCAAAAGGCTGCAAAACAAAGCAAAAAGTTTGCCTTATTATTGATTAAGAAAGTTTATGAACAGAAAGTTGGCCATGATTTACCACTTCTTGGTGATTCCATTCTGTGAGGAAATTATCTGGCAGGGAGCGGGGTTTGTGGAGGAGGGGAAAGAGCTGCACTGAAACTGCAGAATCCACAAAACCGCCTGACTGTAGGGCGTTTTTAACCAGCTTCAGCTGGTGATACAGTAGCAATGGTTCCTGGACTAGGATAACATGACTGCAAGTTGTTCATACATTGGTTACCTTCAGGTTTGATAACCGTAAAGCATGCTTAAATGAGGCTGAGGTTAGGGCCTGGAAGCTTCACGGCGGAGTGGGAATTTGAACCTGGTCTTCCAGGTCATAGTCCAACAGTCTAACCATTAAGCCACACTGGCTGCTTCCTGGTCACATGGCAGTGTGAGAGAGCATTGGGAGGGAGGGGCAGAGTGCTGGCTGATGGCTTTCTATAGCAACGGCCAGCCATTACCTTGATCAAAGCCATGCTGCTTGTAGTGGGCTAATGCCAGCTCCTCGACAGAGCACACCACAGTGGAGGGCTCAAGGTCTTCTCCTGGGTCTTCGGCACCAACATCTTCCATGATAAACATGGACTTCCCCATTCCGGTCTGTGGGCACAGCTTTCCTTTGATGGTAACCTGCAAATCAAAACTACTGATGTTTTTACTTTTGCTGCTACAACTTGCTGCTTTTACCCAGTGTGCCACCATGCTGTATTTTCTGTGAGAGCGTGGTTTAAAAGTATGTTCAAAATAAACAAAAGGAGACTGCAGAAGGCAACTAGGGCAAGAGGGAAATGGTGAAAACTTTACACAGGCCCCATGGAGAGGGTGGGGGGTCAGGAGGGAGAAGGAGCAAATTAAATCATATCACTATACACAGAGAGAGAGAGGCCTTGGGGTGAAGGGTGTGTAATAATAGTATACTGAGAGAGGGCCATTGCATAGAAAACAGTTAGGGGGACAGGTGGGAAAGGCTGGATTTCACATCCTGATGAAAAATAATCAGTCAGTTTGCACACAAGCTTATGCTAAAATCTGATACATCTTCTGTTCCTGGGGGAGGGGGGTGACTGGGGAAAACTTAATGTTTTTTTTTCATATTTGTTTGAAAAAACTTTTAAAAATCTTTTCTATAAAAAACAATCAATCAAAGTGCAGAAATCAATTATTATCCTCTATATACCCCCTATGCAAAAGAAGGGGTATCATCAGCCTTGGGAGACGAAATCCAAAGTTTGCAGAATGAGAAAGAACCTTTAGGGAAAAGAAAAACCTGCAAAGTGGTAAAAATCCAAAACTAGCCCAATAAATATTGAGCATGCTCAGTAGCAACAGACTGTTGGGTGACCAGGCGGCGAGGGAGAGGAGAGGAGAGGAATGGAGTATCCTGCCACTGGGCACTGCTGACTGGCTGGCACCCTGGACAAGAACACTGTGCACTGCAAGGTTTTCTCACTTACAGAACTCTAAATTATAATGAGAGAGAAGTGGGGGGTGAGAAGGAAGAGAGGCTGCTACTTAAACTTTGCTAACACCAGCTAAGTGACAAGCTAAAAATAAGACCACCCAGCGCTTAAGTGCTGTCTCCTTGTCAGCCCTTTGACTCATTTGGGGACTGACAAATGGGGCTGGTGTCAGGGCTGGAAATTTGTTCTCCCATTGCACGTCTCATTGAACACGTAGGAAGGAAGCCCCACACGGCTGCTGAAGCAGCTCTCAGGTGGGACAGCAAAGGAGGAGAACAGCACAGAAGGGAACAGAGGCCTCTGAAGCGTATTAAATGAGGCTGGTGCTCTGATGGCAGCTCTTGCAGGAGAAAGAATGCAATTGGGCAAAGCATGTTCAGGAAAGTGGCAACTCAAGCATCATTTTGAGAAGTATAAGGATGGTAGGCAGTGAGGAGAAATAGAGGAGTACAGAAAAAGGATGGTTAGAATTGCTTCAAAAAGAACAATTTAAAATGCAATCTGCAAAATGCATCACAATCATTCATGCAGACAAGCATGCAAATAGTGCACACCCAAGACCACACAGGTCAGATGCAGGACAGCACATTTCCCCAGGTTTTAATAACAATACTGTCCGAACAGACCCCACAAACACCTGAAGCAGCTTTGATGCTGTCAGATCTGCTGCTCTGATTCTGACTCTAGTGGAGTCACTGCAGGGCACAGAATGGCACCTTTTGGGTGCTTGCTGCAGCTCTGTACATATAGATAGGAGGCCCCAATTGTGCACCTCAGCCACAAAATCCAGCTTCCTAAAAAGAAGGAAATTAAGTTATGACCGTGAAAAGTTCAAAATTTAGAGCAATGTTCCTATTATTGGGGATGGAGGATGGAAAGAAGTTAGCCAATAATAAGTACTCTAAATCTAAAATATAATCAGATGAAAGTACAAAAACGCATGAAACAAGGTATTAATTTGCTGTAATTTTATTTTCTACAAAGAATGCAGGGCGCTGGGGATGTGGGGAAGTCCAGTGGATCATGAAAAATGTTTTGAAAATGTGAATTTTCTTTCTTTTATCTTTCTCTTTCTATTCTGTAAAACCGCTTTTGTTGAGTTATTGATGATGTATTTGACCCTGGAAAAAAGCAATAAAAAATATTTAAAAAAATAAAATAAAAAGAAGGCCAGCAGTTTATTAATGGTTTGGACTGTCTGACTGATCAGCTGGCACATGCCCACTATGCCAATCAGCTGAAGTGGCTCACCAAGGGGAAAAGTTGTTTCCCATCAGCTGCGATCTGAGATTGTTCTAATTGGCAGCGCTGAGGACGGCGTCTGGGGCTTCTGCATGAGAAGCTGCTGCTCAGTCTCTGAGCTAGGGCTCCTACATATAGTAAAACTCAATATAACCAGATGGTTTATACCAACTCAGACTATTTGCTAGCCCACCTTCCCAGGGAGATTCTTTTTCCAACTGCAGGCACACGAGGGGTTGAACTGGGAACCTTCTGCATGCAAAGAGCAGGGGTCACACACAAAAACACTTCCTCTGGGATCGTGTTAGTTTGCATCAAAGAATTGCTACCACCCTGCATTGTGACAACAAAAGCTCATGAATGGCCGACGCAGAATGTCAACACCTAGTTTGTTCTGATCAGTTTCTACAACCAGCGGCAGACAAGCCAACAAGCCACAGCTTGTTTCGTCAAAGCTTGGCGAACATCCAGGGTGGAGTAGCTCAACAAACCACAGTTAAGCAAGGCTGCTGGATTTGGACATAATGCCCAACCGCAGTTAGGACCACCAAAAAACCATGGCTTGACACTGTGGCCTGTTGCCAGAAAACAAACCATGGTTAGCCTGCTGTCCTTAACATACCCAGTGCAAGGAGGACAACCAGCTGGTAGTTTAACTCTTTATTGACGAAGCATGCACTTAGGGCAGCTCCTAAGTTGTTCAGAACACACACACTCTTCTGGAGACCAAGTAGTTGGCACCCCCTCCCCCAGCTTGTGCGCTGAACTGGACTGTTGGAGCAATAGCATGACCATGCCTTCACTCAAACTGTACAACCTTCGTCTAAAGGGGCACACACAAGCAACCTGTGACTTCTCCTACACAGAAGTTGCTGCTGTGCCTGTCTCTTCAAGCCCCTCCTGGTCCTGAGGGACAGTGGTGGAGGGGATGGAGGGGATTCCACCGCCTCCCTGGTCCGGCTCCTGCCCTGTATCCTGCATCTCCTCCTGCTCAGACTCTTCCCCTGCCTTCAGCCCTGGCTCCTGCCTTGCAGCAAGCACAAAACCCCATAAACCACTGCTCCCTTCCCTGAGTCAGTCTCTGGCCCTACAGCCTCTGCCACCCACTCCTCGGTGCCCTGCCAGTCCCTGACACCTGCTAGGTTCACATGTACAAACGCACCACCTTTGGCTAAACAAACCATGGATTAGCATTATGTATGAGCTGGGTGTGAACCATTTTAGAAGCCAAGATGAAAAAGAAAAAGAAAACAGTCTGGCACCTTTCCACATTCCCAATTTATAAATGTACACCAGACCACAAAAGAGAGGCTTCTCCAGACATCCAATAGCTACTCACATGGGCGACATCTTCCACGGAAAGAAGCGGCAGATCTTGGAGGAGATGTCCTATCTTCTTACACGCTGAGGAATTTTTCATCCTCTGGGCTCGCTGGGACAGGGAGAGTCGATGGCCTGTGCGAACAAATGGGTCCTGGAGACCTTTCCTGATGCACCTGATGGCCTAGCAGACAAGCACGCATTGCAGAGAGGTGAGCAAACGGACCCCCACCAAACCAAGAGGGGCCGGTCGATGTCCTCAAGCACAAGTTGCCCCATCCAGGGCTGACAGCCAGATGGAAGGCGCTTGTGGGAGAGCAAGGAGAGAAGACATCACCCTTCCAAGCAAGGTGCAAAGAGAGCAGAGATGGGTGCATTTACCTCCTCTGTGTCTTTCAAGTGCTGGTGCAAGTTAAGTGCCAGACGATCCCACCACCGTCCTCTGCTGTCAGAACAATACACGTCTTGGGCCAAAAGATCCTGAAGCTGTTCCACCGCCTCCTAGGGCAGACACGAGGCCAAGGGTCAAAAAAAGGTGTGTGGCTTGGTGCCCAAGGGACTAAGCCAGGGATAGCTAACCTGTGGCCCTCAAACCACGCTGGACTCCCAGATCTCACCAGCCCTGGTCAGAATGGTCAATGGTCAAAAGATGATGCTAGTTTAGATATCCAGCAACATCTGCAGGGGACCACACTGACCATTCCTGGACCGTGCTGTGAATTGGGAAACTCCCATCTCACTCCTTGCCTCTGCCGCGAGCTCTCTAGGTGGCTCTGGGGAAAGCTGGAACGCCAGCTTTCTATATCTGCATTATGGGTGCACTCAAGTAATAGAGGCCTATCTTACAGGGTCTGTTGTAAGGATTATGGCAAGGGAAAGTATGTGAAGCACTTCAAAGACTTTGAACTGCAATACAGAAATGCTTAGTAGTAAAACGTGACAGTGGCCCCGCAACAAAAATTGCCTGAGTGTTTTGTTTGTACTTTTAGCAATCTTCAGGGTTTCCACCAAGCCCGTTGACACCTGCCCCCTTTGCATGGATAGTGCCCTTTCGGCCACATACCCTGAACATTGGAATTTGATACCATTTGCAGCCAGGACAGGCTGGTCCTTTCAGAGCTTCCAGTTGGCTTTATGACTTTGCTAAACAAGTGCATTCCCTGGCCCCAACACATGGCGCATGGCTTCTTCACCACACAGCTTTTCGGGAATGATGAAGACACACCTCTGTGCCCTGGCCTTTTGACAGATATCTGAGACATACATTTTCAGGGCCCACATTTTTAATTTTGGATTTTTTAATTGCTGTAACCTGCCCTGGGACCTGCTGGTGAAAGGCAGGTTGTTTATTTATTTATTTATAATTACCTTATACATATGTAGTCTCTGCAAGATCTCAACACCCTGGGAGAGGATTCGTGTGTACACCCACCCAACAGTGAAACGCCTCAAGTATTCCGGGAGGGCTACATGGTACCTGTAAAGGGGGGGGGACAAAACACACAGGAAGTCTTTGCCATGGAACTACCCACTCTAGCTGCGATTCCTGTACTGCATGGGGTTTGACTAGATGACCCCTTGGGTCCCTTCCAATTCCATGATTCTATGAAAAAGCCTGGAGATGGGCAATTGCTTGGGAGAAGCAAAAGCTGTAAGACAGCCACCATTTCCTGCAATGCACAGGTATCCTTCCTATTGCTATGGCAGGGGAGAGTCACAGCTCAGTGGTAGAGGGCCGGCCCTGCACACAGAAAGTCCCAGGTTCAATCCCTGCCATCTCCAGGTGGAGATGGGGAAGACCCCTGCCTGAAATCCTGCCTAGAGTACAGGCATTACTGATCTAGATAGGCCAACAGCCTGGCACAGTACCGCACAGCCTTCCGTGTTTCTAGGAAGGGGTTATAGCTTAGTGCGGGGGTTCTCAAGAGGTGTGGCAGGACAGGATGGCATGTGTGGCAGCAAGATTCAGGGACAATCAGAGAAACACTCAACATTTCAGTGTGTAGCATGCCACTGGACTCTTTTTGGATATACAGCCAGAAACAGTATCCATGCCTCTCTTCAAGAGCCTTGGCTATTCTTCTATAGTTCTCTATGACATATTGTTGTGAACAGGGAGTTTCAACTCTGACAAATATGAAAGATCAGAAAAGAGAAAGACTTCTATGTGGTGATGAGGAGACAAGAGTCTGTTGGTCTCAAATTAGGCCTAATACAAATGAGATTACCTGGCAAAAGCAAGCTCACACACACCTCTCATTGAGTTAAAGTACATATGTAAGAGGCTTTTTTATAATTATATTTTGGGAAGGATTCATGTTCTTACATAGCTGCATTGTTATATATTGTCTAGATGTTCCATGATCATATTATAAAGCAGTAGTGTTCTATGTTACAAATCAAGCCCTGCCAGGAGTCATTTCTTTTTTGTTTTCCAAAGTATTTCTTATCAATAAAAATTTTTAGTGTGGTCTGAGCAATTTTTTATTCTGAATGTGTGACCCAAAGAAAATATTTTGAGAACCACTGGCTTAATGGCAAGAGCATCTGTTTTAAACACAGAAGATTCCAGGTTCAATTCCAGGCATCTCCAGGTCAGGCTGAAAACGTCCCATCAGAAGCCCTGGAGAGCCACTGCCAGAAGCATAGACAAAAGGGAGCCAGATGCAGCACTGGTCTGGCTTGGGCTAAGGCCGCTTCCTGCAGCCAGTCATCCCAGATCCAACAGGTTGGTTCACTATGAAGTCCAGCAAGGGCAGGAGGAGGAGATATTGAGTGGAAACAGTAGTGAGATGAGAATGCATACTGAGCCCTGCTGGATCAGAACAAAGGGGCCCCATCTAGTCCAGCAACCTGTTCTTACAGTGGCCAACCAAAGGCTCATTATGGGAAACCAGCAAGCAGCACCTGAGTGCAACAGCAGCACCCACCGCCCACCGCAATTACCTGCAACTGGGTTTCAGAGGCATACGGCCTTCAGCTCTCTAAAATAAAAGACATTAACAAATTGCCCAGTAGCACCAACTAAGTTTGTTCTGGGTATATGCTTTCATGTGATAGCTGAAGAAGTGCACACTTATACCCAGAACAAACTTAGTTGGTCTCTAAGGTGCTACTGAATATTTTTTTAAAAAAATATTTGACTGTGTCAGACCAACACAGCTACCCACCTGAATCTAAAATAAAATAATTGTCTGTGTTGCGGAAAAAAGTAACAAGGAAGGAAGGCTGGAGCACATTTTGAAGGCAGTCGGCCAAATATCCAGAGCAGTTCACTGTAACTCTACAGAATCCTTTTGGAAGCGGAAGAGTCAACATGAGGCTGGTTCCCATATGCACAGGGTAAAGAGGTCTTGCAAAAGGCCTCCCACATGGCCAAATCTCATGACAACAAAGACTCGCCAGTGTACTGAAGAAAGCTTATGCCACAATAGATGTTAGCCTTCTCAAAGGAATCTTTTAAACTATTAACTATAAACTGTAAAATGAGGCCCTTTATTATTCTCTTGAATTTCTGGCCAGGAATAATACCCTAAGCTATTCAAGGGTTTTACTGTCAAGAATAAATTTGCCTGCAAGCTCTTTTTCAGGGAAAAATGAAAACCCACTTCCTAATTCACCTCTGTGGAGCTGAGGAACAAAAACATGGAACTGTGACAAATAAATCCTGATGATCAATGCTTCCTAGAATAATACCAAAGCTGCAAACAAAACAGACTCTGGTTTTATTTATAGCAGAGAACATGAGCCACTTGTCAAAAGCAGGCTATACCTGCCCTGGATTCAGCCCTGATCCTGGATGCCCAGGTCTCTGCAGTGGCCAGGATTGCCTTTGCAGAGTTAACGCCACTGCACCAGTGGAGATGCCTGATCTGTCCTGAGTGACACTCACCTTAGTTACATCCCATTTGGATTTCTGTAACACGTGGGGCTGCCTTTGAGAGGTCCTCAGAAATTTCAGCTGTCAAGGAGCTGCAGCCCGACTGTGGAGCAGGGCTGGTTATAGGGAGCACACGACTCCCTCACTATAGCAGCTCTCCACTGGCTGTTTCTGGGAACAATTCAAAGTGCTGCTTATGACCTATAAAGCCCTCATGGCTTAGGCTTAGGGCTATTCAAAGGACTGTATTCTCCCACATGAAGCTGCCCAGCTCTTCAGTCCCACCTCCCTCCCAGGCACATCTGGTGCAGACATGGGAAGAGGGACTTCTCAGTGGCTGCTCCTAGACTCTGGAATGCCTTTCCAGAGAAACTGGATTGGCTCCCTACTTGTCCTTCCTCCATCAGGTGAAGACTGCTTTAATTCTGCAAGCTTTGGGGAAATGACTGTTTTTAAGGAAATGGCTGTTAATAGTGCTGTGCTATTTTTACATCTTTTAAATGCTATTATAGTTTAATGACTTTTAAAACTGTATTTTATATGTTTTGAACTTTTGGTGTTTTATCCATGATTAATCGGGGGGGGGGCACCTTGAGTCCTGCTTCTGGCAGAAAGGTGGGATAATAAATAAATAAATAATAATAATAATAATAATAATAATAATAATAATAATACACCAGAAATGAGATCACACTTTGTTTCAGCCCCCCTTCCATTTTTTGAGTACAACGTGCATCAAGCCCCAGCCCACACATGTCTTCACTGCAGATCCCCCCCCTTGCCGCCTCCTCCTGCTCCACTCAGCCTTCATACCTCAAAGAAAAGTGTTCCCTCAACTCCTGCCAGATTTCCTTGGCCACCTCATAGAGTCTGTGCGCCTCCTTCCAGTTCCCATGAGTCACAGCCACAGAGATGTCATTTGACAAGTACGCAGCACTGGCATACCTAATAAGAAATAATAATAAATAATAATAGTAATAATTTAAAGCAATGATTTCAAGATGAAGGCCACCATCTCAGAACAGATTATGCTGTAGCATTTGTTTATGCAGTAGATTTATATCCCAGCTTTTAGAGATGAAACCTTTCTTCTAAGGTGCATCACAATAGCATTATTAAGCAAATTCATACAACATATTTTAAAAGATAGTTTTAAAACACCTACTTAACAATAAAGATTACTACTATAGCAGCAGCCAGCAATCGAATTAGAACAGCGTTCAGCCTGGTAATTCCTCAGAGTTACAGAATGATGTGCCACCATAATAACAGCCACCCAGCTAAGTTCTGTAAAATCCACCTTCCCCAGCCAGTTGCCCTTCAGGTGCTTTAGGAAGCAACTTCCATCAGACCTAGCTGACACGGTCTGATCTGCATCTAGAGAGCGCCAGGTTGGGGAAGACTGCCTACAATTATGGTAAAAGTACCACCTGCCAAATCCCAATTAGAACAGAATTTCTTAAATGTGGAATCATGGCATCATGCCATAACTCCCAAACCTGTGAGCTGAGTCCCCAAATCTTTTTTCAGAGGTCCACAGGTTACCCACTCCAAGTTTAGGGTCTATGTTTATATCAAGAGAGGAGGATAGGTAAGTGGACCTCAACTTATGAACGTTCTTTCCTTTTCCACATACCGTGGGTTTCAAATATTTAATGTTTAAATTTGCATGCAGCTTTTTAATTTGCATCACTGTCAGAACAATCAAATACCAAACCATTTCAAATCATAATATATCAACACATGGATCATGTCAATGGCCCATCTAGTCCAGCATCCTGTTCTCACAGCAGGATCCGAGCAGCAGAGCACTCTTCCCTGACAATCCAAAAAACAACCCAGTTGGATTATATGAACATTGTCACATTTTAAACTCATCATAAAGCAAACGTAGCAATTCATTAGAAACATGTCAACAATAATAAGACCAGAAGCCACTGCATGGCAGTACTATACAAAAACTAACAAAATGTATAAAAGCTTTCACAGAGGTTAAAAATCTAAGGTGTGCAGAATTTCAGGTGGGACGAGTGTGTTGCCCTCAGGTCCTGCTTGCAGGCTTCCCATGGGCACCTGGTTGGCCACTATGAGAACAGGACGCTGGATTAGGTGGGTCTCTGGCCTCATCCAGCAGGGCTCCTTTACATGTAAAAAGTAAGAAGAAGAAGAAAAACTACAGTAAGAAGGTGGGGAAACAGTATCCAGGGCCTTCTGGATGCCTCCCTACCGGATGAAATCATCCCGATCCTGGAATATCTGAGTTTTCCTGTTGACTGTGTAACTGGGGAAGATCATGCGGCCCATGTTCACCATGAGGACTGTGGAAAGTTGTCCTTGGCCGCCACTTCCAGCTTCTTCATCCTCCACTGGGTCAGTCAGGGAAAAGAGCAGCAGCACCCGTGAGAAGACTGTCCGGGGAACTTTATGAACCCTGACAGATCTGCCAGCCACATCTTTTGCTCTGAGGAGTATGCAACAACAAGAAGAAGAAGGAAAAGGAAAGTCAACATGAACTAAACACCCTCAGGTCTTCTACAGAGACACATGGTCCAACGCTTGCTTAGAATTATGTCCCACAATGTCCAATGGGGCCGACTCTTTTGTAAGTGTGAGGCTCTTTAAAAGGATTTTAGCCCCTAAACCATTTTTTTCAACTGTTTCTCTGGCAGATTACTAGGCTGCTGGGGATATTCACAGCTTAGGCCAGGGGTTGCCAACCGTTCTGGGCCTATGGGTCCATCTGCAGATGGGAGGCATTGTCCTGGACCCCACAAACTCACCGTCTGCAACCCAGTAAACAGCACACCCTATTTGTTTGCTTGCAACAGGATGCTTCTTTCTAGTCTAATTCCATTGATGGGAGGGTGAGTGTGGATGTGGGTGTAAATGTATTTATCACAAAGCATACATAAGGATAAAAGGAAGCAAGCACTTTCCAAAACGTTAGTGCCTCTTACAGAGTTGAGAAAGACTTGTAGACAAAACAAAACATCATCACCATCACATGCCCCATGGGATTGCAGGAGCTGCACTAGATGACCTGTGGGGTACACATCCAACTCTACAATTCTGTGACTCCAAATGTCCAAGTTCTCCTGCCTTCTCAAGTGACTCCTCCCTTCCCTCCATGGCCCCTGAGATCTGTGAACTTCTTCCAAGAATTCTAACATCAGCCATCCTCAACCCACTAGACGAACATCAGAGCCAGGCAACAGGAATGGACAATGTTGAGCTGCAGTCCAAATTACCCAGAAGGCACCAAGGTTGGGAAATGCCAAGTGACATAGGACAACCTTCTCTCTCTCAGGACCTCCCCCCCCCTTTCTATGAAGCCACTGCCTGATCCCTTAAGCCTTGATGCCAACTGAAACTGGACCAAGTTAACTATCTATTTTTTGAGTCACTGCCCTGTTCCCCCGCTGCTAGAAGAGTTACTGCATGCTCCTTGCAAACAGGTTCTTTGGATTGAAGGTGGTCCTTTTCCTAAAGCAAACAGCTCTGCAAACTTTACTCAGCAACAACATAATAATCTCAAATCATGCAACTGGAAGCTGCTGGGCTAACTTCAGCAAGGCAATGGAACACACCACATCTAAATTTACTACACATACATTATCAATAAATTTGGTTTGCTGCTCTGATGCAAAAAATTAACACACAAGGTGAAAGCGCTAAGAAAAGGAAACCAAACAGACAAATTTGGTGATCTATGGTACCGTTTCATTGAATTTGCATGTAACAAAAATTTTATATCTCCTCAAACACATGGCAATTTATGGCTAACAACTCTTGGTTAAATGCACTATCGTCTATTTTGCTCCTTGTACCATCGTATTGCAATGACCTTGTCCATGCATCAGTGATATTGATTGCTTGTAATTTTCAATCAGAAAGATCCATTTCATTTATGTTCACCCTTTTTATGCATATGAAAGCAAAATGAATATGTTTAAACAACATCAGCTCAGGAATAGAATTTCCCTGAGCTTTACGTTCTTCCCCTGCCACCTGCAAAAATAGATATAACAATGCAGCTGAAGTGCTGAGATGCTCCTCCAAAATCACACACACATCAACCAGGATATTCATCTGCTTAAAAATCAGTGCATAGTTCAAGAGTGAATTATAAAAAGGAGAGTCTCCTGAAAGGTGCCTGCTGTGCTTATGGCAGCTGTTGAAAACTGGATTACAGTGGAGCAGAAAGCGCAGCATTTCTTGAAGCAAAGAACAGAGGCTTTGCAAAAACCAAATATCCTCTAGCCTCCACCTTCCTAGAGGCTTTAAAAAGTGTGGGAGCAAATCATGGAGACACAGAATACTGGCATGTTTTCCTGTCTCTGTTGGGAACAGAATTCAACTTCCTGAGAAGTAGCAATCTCATTCCTTTCTTTTTTTGAAAGAAAAATGCACCAAAAACAGAAATGCAGGAAAGAGATATATCTCACAGGTGCCATTTGAAAGGATGGGCTCTTTATTTCTACAATACACCAACTGTGTTATGGACAAAAATGCCTTATTTCCTTGTTTCTTGGGGAATCAATCTCAAAACTTTCTGCTAACGACTGAAAGGACAAGATTTTCATCTATCAGTCTTCAACAACAGAAAGTTTTGCAACGTAGTTAATTGGCATCTTTTACTGAGGTTGCAGAATCTAGCTTTGCCTGGGTGGCCCTGATGCAGAATTCTGATGTTTTTATTTCATCATTTTAGAAGGGAAGGCACTCAAAAGTTAAGTTACCTTTTCAGAATCACATTCCCAATGCCAGCTTGGTTCCTGTTGAAGACAGAGCGCTGCTTTGACAACCGAAAGAAATCTTCCAGGAGCTGCTGTTTCTGTGCATTTGGGTTTGGCAGGTGGAAGACCTTTGCTAAGGTTTTCAGCTCAGGGGCAGAAAGCAAGTCAAGAGCCTCAGACAGATCTTTTAATTCTGCCTCTGCAGGTACACAGGGAAAAATGCAAGAATAATGAAAGGGACTCCCCATAGATACCCAAGTCCTTTGCTACATGAAATTCCAAAGAATGCCACACAGTCATTGTGTAAGTTACGACACATCCTGTGCTTAAAGCATGAGGTTTTACTGCCTTATTACACACACACCACACATATTATAAACCGTGCTATGAATACCACAAATTTAAAAAGCTACTTGTGGTGGAGGGGCAGGGAGGGACTAATTTACAAAGGATAAGTTGACCAAGAGATGCTAACAATGACAGAGTAGAAGCTGCAGGGGCTGTTTTGGGGGAAGCTTTAAAGGTCTCTCCTGATCCTCTGAGGAGGCTGTGGCCCAGTCATTCAAGTCTGGTGGCAGAGGCACCTGATTGGTGTGCAGGGAACGAGATGCAGGCTCTGAAGCTAGCAGATCCCACACGGGAAGGACCAGGCAGCAGATCTGCCTCCTCACCAGGGCTACTGTTGTACTCAAACCCCTCTCCCCAGCTATCTGATCCTTCAGTGGGAGATACCAGGGACTGAACCCAAGATGCTATACATACAAAGTATGCAGAGTCTCCTGCCTATAATTTAAGCTGAAACCCAGCAAACTGCAAAGGGGCATTTTACATTTACTTGTGTCCGTGTCCTTCCCACCTTGTAGATTTGGGGCAGGTAACAAGACCCTGAGGACTATCAAGGAGAGAAAATACAGGCAACTCTCAACTTACACAGGGATTATGTTCCAGGGATCGCGCCTAAAGCAAAAATTGCATATAGCAAAAACACCCTGAGTTCAATGGTGGGTGAGATTGCCAAAGTCTTTTTTTCCCCAGACGTCTGTTCCCTTTCCACCCCATTTTATTTATTTATTTATTTATTTACCACCCAAAGTTGCAAGTTACCTGCAGTACAAAACTGAAGGCACAAATCATCCCAGGCCTACACTATCTCTACAAGTGAGTGGGAGTGGCTGAGATCTTCCTGGATTGTACCATTCCAGAGTGTATGCAGGGAGGTCAACTTTTTGAATGCTGCCCATGTTTAAAACAACCCCCAAAACTCGTATCTTACGGAAAGCATTATTACCTCTCCCTCTCACTGATATGCTACTTACATCAATATTTTGTTTTTCCTTTTCATATGGGGCTACTTTTTTTATCTACTCCCACCCCCACCAAAAAAACCCCACCTGCAGTGGTGCAGTTCAGAAATGGAACTATCGCATTATTTTATTCCACATAACTGTCATGCAAACTTTTAACAGACATACCTGACTGCAAGAATCCTGTTCCAACAAGCTCGTTGATGTATGATGAGAGATCCTCAGCAATCTCCAAGTAGACTATCTTGTTCGTTTTTATCCAACTCAGCTTGCGTTGGAAAAGTCTGACGTATAACTTCTGAGCGCTGGCTGCAGTGGCATCATAAACCAGGAGAAGGACAGAGAAAATTCTAAAGGTGCTTTCTAAGTCTGGAATTGCATCCACATCTACACCAGTGGTTCCCAAAGCTTTTCAGGCTCCTGCCCCCTTAGTTCCATAAACTCATCCCCAATGCCTCCCACCCTACCCTATAGAAAGCATTATTCAGAACATATAATAGCTCAATAAAATTCAAAACAGTAACAATCAATGGCACATTTAGTCAAAATCCAATCAAAACTATTTAGTTAAATTAATCCAATGAAACAGATGAACTTGATGCAGTGGTCCTAGCTCTTCTTCTGGTAGTCATTTACAGTTTCACCGCTACCCTAACATCCACTTGCCTCTTAGTGCCCCTCTAGGTAATTCCACTTCCCCAGGGGAGACACCACCCACTTTGGGAACCACTACAAAGTACTTGGAAGACACACGGCAGCTTTGCTGTCAAACGCACATCAGCTGGCCCTGATCAAAGTTCAAACGCATCCCCAACTCTTTTGATATGTGACTTTAAAAAACATGCTGAACAAGGGTGGCTGCAAAGCACACTGGGATTGGCCCTGCTCAGGAGTTCGGAAAGCGGGAATCGCATCACTGCCGATCAGCTGCAAATCCTGATTGGCTACACCAAGAACTTCTGAATGGGAGCTTTTGAGAGGAGCCTATCCTAGCGGAGACTGCACCTGGCGCCAAATGTAAAAGGCACCCAATACAAGCCCTGCTTGCAAAGCAACAACCAGGAGTGCACTCTGAGGTTCCTGGTTCCAGCCCAGGATGCAACAGGAGAAAGAAAAGAATTGGGATCCCAATTACTGCCTTTCAAGTCAGGTCATCTGACATCACGCAAACGTCTGTAACTGACAAGTGGGAGGCCCTTACCATCTGTCAAACTGACCAGTAAGGGGTGAGGAGCTCAGGATCTAATCTGCCATTGCATCCTGTTCCGCATCCCTGATTTATTTAGGTTGCTTTATTCACTTACACCTGGGGTTTTGTTATATCTTGCCATTCTTATCCGTCTGCTCCTTGGTTTTATATGAGATTGGGGGGGCGGGGGCGTTTAAGTCAGAAAATGACTACTAATTCATTTTCCCTTCGGGTTCTTAAACTTTCTTCACTTTTCCCCAACATTTTCCTCCACCCCAGGGTGTCACAATAAAGAGAATTTCATGCAACCTTCTACCAAGAGGAAGAATATACTCAAAGCCCAGACTGTCATTTTCCCAGTGGGGATGAGGATCCTTTGATGTTCTCCCTCTGATACTTCCCAAGTCAAAAAGCCAGAAATAATGCTGATTTTACAGATCATCATCCCTCTTTCTTACTTCTCCCTTCAGCGGTGGTGGATAGGTGCGGGAGACACTTAAGATACCATTATGTCCTGCTATTTTAAAAAAGCAAACTCAGTGCCAATATTACAGTAAAGCAAAACATCCTTTTCTAATTTGCGAAAGAACCCTGCTGGAGCAGATTCCTGCTCATCACGGGAGACCAAATGACTGAAGCTGCAATCAGGATACATGCTTACCTGAGAGGAGGACATGCCAAAGAACATACAGAAAGTCACCAGCTTACAAGGATCAGGCCTGCTTCCCAAAGTCATCCAGGTGCCTCTAGGAAGCCCACAGCCTGGGAAGCTAAGTGAGCAGACCATCTAGTTCTATATTATCTACGCTGATTCTTTGTGGTTCTCCAGGATTCCAGACTGGGGTATTCCCCAGCCCTACCTGGAGATTTCAGGATTGAGCCCGCAACCTTCTGCATTCCAAGCAAATGCACTTTCACCTTTCCTCAGATCTCACCTTGGGACATGAACTCACTTAGATGGCTTTTAGATTATCCCTTCTCCCTGAGCCTCAGTTTTCCTTATATGTAACATGGGGAAAATATTATTTGCATACCTAAGAGGGAGTATTGGAAGACAGGCAGTGATCATGAACAGCTTTGAAAGCTCTAAAGCAGTGTTTCTTATAAGTACCCCACATTATATTCACCTGAGGAGGGATACGACTCAACTCTCCAAAGGAGTAAGCGATTTTTCTTAAGTTTGGGAAGTGCTCCTCTCTAAAGCATCATCCTTCTACCTTGGGTCCCTGGACATTGGTGGACTACAACTCCCATTATCCTTGCCAATTGGCCTCTCTGGTGGGGGGCGATGGGGGCTGCAGTCCAATAACATCTGGGCATCCAAGATTGGGAACAGCATCTTTATGGCAAAATGAAAGTATAGCAAGGTTATTAGGTGAAGGGCTAATTACAAACTCTCACTGAGATTTTGTTTAAAACATTTCAGGTCATGGTTCCAAAAAGTTCAAAGCGGCTGTCAAAAAGATGAAGTACATTAAAAATGCTGAAACATCAAGATGGAAGTGGACAACGGACGCAAGAGATGAGGGACCCTGCAGAGAGAGGGGCAGTCCTTCAGCTGATAAAATCCATGTGGGCCAGGTAACAAAAGACATTGGCAAATCGGTTCTGAGTTGGGAAACGCTTCCAACTGCATTTCAAAACACACGGCTTATAAAACAGCCATTCGCTTTATCACCTGAGTGGAGCAAGGATTGCCTCCAGGGGATCAGATAGAGAAGACTTAGCTTTATTTTTAGGCCACAGAAGGCTAATTTGAGCTAAGAAGAGAAAAATGTTGTGGCCCAGCAGTTTATCAAAGATTAGGCTTGATGAGGAGGAAAGGTTTCATGGGGGCGGGGGGAGAGAACTTGATGCCCATTTTATCCAAAATCAACTTCACTCTCCTATATGGATCCAAACTACAAGAAAGAAGATTCCACCTAAACATTAGGAAGAACTTCCTGACAGTAAGAGCTGTTCGACCGTGGAATTTGCTGCCAAGGAGTGTGGTGGAGTCTCCTTCTTTGGAGGTCTTTAAGCAGAGGCTTGACAACCATATGTCAGGAGTGCTCTGATGGTGTTTCCTGCTTAGCAGGGGGTTGGACTCGATGGCCCTTGTGGTCTATTCCAACTCTATGATTCTATAATTCTATAGCTCAAATAGGTCCCTGTGGATCACGCAGAAGCCCTGCTTCCCAGTAGCTCCAACTTGCAAAGCAGAAATTATTGCTCAAGCAGAGTGATCATGCCCTGGTGCAGCCTCTTTCCCAGGTGCTTATCATCAGCCCAACATCAAAGGCTCATAGAGCTGTAAAAAATTGTATCTGCCTCTTAGCAGAAGCCAACCAATTGGGGAGCATGTAAGTTATGCAAAGAGCTCATCTAATGGCACAGCTTAACATCTCTGCATACAGGAACCAAACAGAAGCTGTCTGCTTGGCAAATTAATGTGCTCTGCTTACTGTCTTAAATCCAAATCCCACTAGATGTGCAGGGCATGAAGGGTAGCCCCTCTTCCCTCTCAAGTAAAAAAAAAAAAATCAGGACAAGTGGGGAGGCCAACCTGTCCCCATCAATCAGCTAGGGAGGCACAGGTCCAGTGTTAGAAACTGAGATATAAAAGCTATTTGCCATATGGCCCCTTAAACCTAGGTTACAGTCAGGTACATTAACAGAATGCTTAGGTGCCTGTCTAGGGGTGTGTTTGGGTTGTTGTTTTTTTGTAAGATTACAAAGCTGAAAATGAATGGTGTATATTGTCAGCTCCAGCTCATAGCACCGCAGGGAGAAAAAAGCTGCTGTGTGTCAGGCGCCATTCTGGCACCCAAGCATCTTCACTTGGTCACAAATGACTGATAGCCAGGTGCAAAATGTGCCTGGCTAATTTCAAAAACTGCAGGTGCCCCGGTGCTGGCTTCCTCCTTCCTCCTCTTCATTTTGCCTATTAAGATTGTGAACCTGTGAGAAAGAACTGCCTCACACTTTAACATATGTGCAGAGCTTAGAAAACAGCAGGTGCTTTTTAAAGTGGTGTATATTATTGTTTATTACTCTATGTGCATGTAGTCATCTCCCCGCATCCTCCCAACCCAAGAGGATAGTCATCACCTGTCGCGATATTACTTCAGAGGTTAGCTGCTGCAACCTCCAACTACCCAAAGGTGGGGCACAGGTAGCTGCCTCAGACCAGGCAAGATTGTTTGTCCATCTAGCCCAGGATTAAATAAATAATGACACGGTGTAATATGTCATGTGCTGTTGTTCATCTGAGGTTGTATTTACCTAATTTTAAGACCTGCTAAAGAACAGGTTATTGCTATGTCCTCAAATGTAAAACCACAGAATTCAAATAGGGTGTACTTTCTTTTTCCCATGACTGTATATGTGAGGGTCACCCCTGGAGATTTTTATACTTCTGCAAATCTTGGGTTTACCTCAAGTCTGCTGAGACTTACTTTTCTTGTGCAGTGTGGTTTTGATTCTAGATAGGCAGAAACCCTTGAGGGCTTGATAGAGATCAACATTAGAATATGGAATATAATATTAGCTACCTGAGAGTTGGTAGAACTTTGCAATGGTGTCCAAATCATTCTCATCAAACAGCCTCTGATCATCCTCATTCTCTAGCACAGCCTGCAGGACCATCAGAAAATTCTGAAGATAATATGGTTGCCCTCCTGGGTCTTCTCCACGGCTGAGTCCATTGAGAACCACCTCTAAAATGTTGCTGCTTGGACTCTGAGAATTCATGTTTTCCAAAGGTCCCAAACCAACACAATCAACCACTTCATTTTTTAAGTCTGTATGATCTTCCATAGGAAGTACTTCCATGTCACCCCCCGCAAAAGAGATATTTTGTGTCTGATTGCAACAAATACCTTTCACATTGGGCAACAGAGCCTGTTCACCAGAAGAGAGGTCTGTGGTTTCCAAGTCTGACGGTGCTTCTTTACTATAAGCTGTTGAACATACTGCAAGCTTGCAAATATCAGAATCCAAGTCCTCCTTAGGAGTATTTTGCTCCTTGTTGTCCTCTGTTGGCAGCCCAACTTCACCACAAGCAAGATGATCAGATGGAAACAATCCAGGAGCAGAAGCATCACCACCACCCAAGAATGTTCGTGCGCCACCTTCCCATGTGGGGTCCAGGGTTTCTCGTTTGCCTTCGAATCCTTCCTTTGGACTAGGTTGTCTCTGAAGCCTTGAAAAGGGCAACCAGTTTTCTTTCTGGGAAGAAGTGGTGCCTTCTAGATTCTCCTCTCTAGAGCTGTCACACACATCTTGAGCTGGTCGAGACTTAGCATCCCAAGTAAAGATGCTGCCACCTTCAGCACGACGCTTCCTGGACAATTTGGTTGACAGCCTTCCCAGGGAGATCTTCCCAACTGCCTGAACCTCTGGCTCACCATTGCCCAGCAGGAGACCGCTGCCCTTCTTAAAGTATGGGCTCACCTGTCCTCCCACCTCAGGTTTTGTTTCAGAGTTGTCACCTACTAACTTCTCTGGAGTCAAGGGATTATTTGCAAAGTATGGACTGCAACCACCAGGCACATTTTCAACTGATGGGCCTGCACCCACGTCAGGCGCCGAACCAACCAGAATCCTGTCGTCATCCCGGCTCTTTTGACACACTTCATCAATGTGCTGGTTGATTCCATATCTTGCTACCATCTGCCCACACAAAGGACAGGCAACTCTGGCAGGGGGGACATTATTGAAAAATGAAGCAATTGAGAAAGAGGATGCAGATAAAGGCAGTGTCCCTTCCACACCCGTCCCTTGCTTCCTCCTGGCAGGTTTTATCCTCTTCCTATTGAGGGCTGAGCTTCTACAAGGCCTTTTATTTCCTGGGAGCTCTTCTTCTGCCATTGCAGGAACCCAAGATAAGGTGAATGGAGGAGCCGCCTCATGCAAACGGAAAAAAACTCTTCACGTCAAGTTATCAAAAGCATTTTTCATGGCCTTGCCTGCAATGAATAAACAGCAGAAGTGATGGCTTAAGTTTTGCATCAACAATAAATTCATAGGTGGTAGGCTTATGAAAAAGTTAAAAATGTTTTGTCATTTTAATTATCAATCACATGCACACCTCACATTTCCTCCTAGGAGCTCAAGGAGGCATATATGGTCCTTTCCCCCCAATTTATCAATACAACAACCCTGTGAGGTAAGCTTGGCTGAGAACTGCTGATTGGTCTAAGGTCAACAAGTGAGTTATATCACCAAGTGGGGATTGAACCCAGGTCTCCCTAATCAAACATTCTAACCACTACACAACACTGGCTCTACTTAAGGACATGGAGTGATATCCAAGTAAGTCATAACCAGATGCAATCAACTTACTTAAGTAAGAAGTCAATGGGACTACTCTGAGTATCTTATCACTGGGTATCACCTAGATTCTGGAACAATTTGCCAATGAAGCTATTAGTACTATTGATATTAGGGTATCTTAAGGGATTTAGTAGCGATGCAAAATTTAAACTTGGTTATTAGTTTCTTCCAGATTTTATTCCAAACTGGATTTAATGTAGAAAGTGTCCAAGTTAGTAAAAGCAAGTACACTTAATAACGAGATTAGCAAGTATCAAGTTAGTAATAAAAATTTTTTAATATGATCTTTGGTTGCTTGAGCTGCCATTTTGTTTTTGTCTCAACCTCTTAGTTGTTTTCCCATCAATACTAAACCAGAAATATGCAATTCTTTCTTCCATATTCTTCCACTGCTGCCGTTGCCTTCTTTTTTCTTGTTCTACTCTCCAAAAAAATAATTTGTAAGCATCTTGGGACAAGGAACCATATTTTTAGTCATGTTAGCATTTTGTAAAGTACACATGGGTGGACAGACTTCAGGCTTGACGGATCTATTTGGCTTCTGCAAAAGTACCTTGAGATTCATCAGTCAGGGCCAGATGCAAACTGGTGGGACAGGCAGACCTTTAGAATTAAGGGCCAGGGTGCCTCTGAGCACAAGCCCAGCCCAGGAATTTGTTTTCAGGATTAGAAGCAATTTTACACTTTCATGCGTAAGTCCACTCCTGGTTTTCCCAAAAAGCATTTTTCCTTTCAGCAACGAAATTACACAACCAGAGATACCACTGTAAAGTTTCTTTGTTGCAGCCTTTGTCAAGTAACTGAGCTTTCCTTGCCATTCTCCTGCAAATCAGCTGAACCTGATCTACCTTTTCTGCTCACTCCTACTGTAAAGCACAAAGTACAAGACCTCTTAAATGCTTCTGTGATGCCCTAATGATTCCAATATAAGCAGATGAAAACATGTTAAGTTTTGAATATGCTATTAAGAAAGTGATCAATCTTAGAACTATTTTTTTAAGAAGTACAGTACTATCCCATTTCTCACTCATGTCAATAATTAAGAGGAAAATGAGTAAACTGATTTATTTTAACATAACTGGGTGCATTCATTCACATTTGCCTTTTCATTTTTTAACCTCTCACAATTTGTTACAGCCCTGCAATGAGTTAGTTGCAAAAAGTGCCTGAGAATCCCCATTTCAGAAACCAATTGATGGGCCTGTGCACCAGATTAGTGGATTCTCTCCCACCACTAGTGCCTTATAATAAGCCAATTATTTATCCTTGCATCTCAAAGGGGGACACTACTGCTCCACAGCATTCAAGACACTCCATCAAAGCGAGACAGAAGGGAAAGATGCAGACTGCCATGATTTTTTAAATAAGAGACACGAATCAATTCAGTGAAGGGTTTGAACCCAGGTTCAGATTCTGGTTTAATCATGACACACACTGGATGGACAGGACTAGGAATTAGGCTCAGTCTAATCTACCTCAGGGACGCGGGTGGCGCTGTGTGTAAAAGCCTCAGTGCCTAGGGCTTGCCGATCGAAAGGTCGGCGGTTCGAATCCCCGCGGCAGGGTGCACTCCCGTCGTTCGGTCCCTGCTCCTGCCAACCTAGCAGTTCGAAAGCACGTCAAAGTGCAAGTAGATAAATAGGGACCGCTCTGGTGGGAAGGTAAACGGTGTTTCTGTGTGCTGCTCTGGTTCGCCAGAAGCGGCTTAGTCCTGCTGGCCACATGACCCAGAAGCTGTATGCCAGCTCCCTCGGCCAGTAAAGCGAGATGAGCGCCGCAACCCGAGAGTCATCCGTGACTGGACCTAATGGCCAGGGGTCCCTTTCCCTAATCTACCTCAAAGGGCTCTTGTGAGGATAAAGCATGAGGAGCTTTATGTGCCCCCAATACTTGGAAGGGTCAACACTCCCGTTTATACAAGGAGTGAGCACTGCTGAATTCAAACACTGGAAGAACCGGCAGGAAACCATCTTCTCTTCTTATCTTGCGAGCCGCGGGCGGAATACAGTGAAATAAATGCACGCCTCCTCCGGCCCTCCTTCCCCAACGCTATGAAGCGAGAAGTGGCTGCTCCCCAAACCTGAGCGGCGGCGGCGGCGGGGAAGGGTCCGGGGCGCCTGGGAAGCGGCGGGAAGAGGCCCAGCGAGGAGGAGACACGGCAGAGGCCCCGCCCACCTCCCTTCTTACTCCGCCTCCCACCGCCAGGCAAAGGCAATCCATCCCCGCGTCAGGCGTGCGGGGCCGATGCCGGAGCCATGGATCGAGGCGCGGCGCGGCCTTCCCACTTCCAGCGAGGACGAGAGGGGGAGGCAGAGACTGAGGCGACCCCCTTCCTCATCCACCCCGCGGGGGCCTTTTCTTTGCCCGAGGTCGTGAGGTGCAAGGCAGGGCTGCCCTCTTTCTCCACTTTGTAAAACAGATCTTCATGTTTATTTCCCAACAGAGCGTGATGTGAGTCTATGGTTCTGTGTGTGCACTGGGTGCAAGCTGTGCTTGTGCGCTTATAGATTTTATTATATTTTAGCTGAAAGCCCCATTGAGGAGGTTTCCATCATTTAATGACAATGATAACAGTGGCCTAGAAGCGTCATCTTAAGCAAATAATTACAACTACCATTCCTAGTAGAAATAATAGTACCTTATCCAAACATGGTATCATTAGTGAGAGCAGTTAAATTAATTATACAATGTGTACATCATTTTAAATTAAGGCTGAAGAATTTGCATGCACTTATGGGAGAGTAAGTCCCATTGAACTAAATGGAGCTTACTTCTGAGTAGATATGCCAATCACAGGATGTAAGCACCCAACCCACACACTTTGTTTCACCTGAAAAGTGGTGTATAAATACTGTACTTTAATACATATCCCAAATCAGCATTAAACTGTTAAATGTTGTGAAGTAAACATATTGTTATAAGATTTGTGGGCAGGGAGCAGGGTTGGTCTGGATGGCATCTGGGAGTCTTTTCTAGGCTTGGCAGGTTTGGCATCTAGTAGAAGAAGCTGCTGAACTGGTCCGACCAGCTTCTCTGTACACTTACCAGCATCCGAAGGAGCGAGATGTACTGCCATAGTGACACTGAGGATGCTTCCAGAAGGAGAGGAGTGGACCTTTTCCCACCTCGCCTGGCTGGATGGCATCATCTCATCCTAGGAAAAAGAACTATAGGCCACAGGAGACTGTCTGCATGTGAGCTTTTTACTAGGATGGAAGCTGGACAGAGGAGTTTGTCTTGCTTTGTGGTCAATCCCAAAGCTATATTTTATCTCTTGTGCTCGTAAAATAAATACCTGAAAAAATGTCAGGTTGCTGCCACCGCCCCCAATAGCTGGTGGTTATGCTCATGAACCAAATGGGAACTCTTGATGCATTCTCCAGTGCTGTGCTGATGGCAGCAGTGAATACACACAAACACACACACACACCCTAACTAGTGACAGATCAATTGCCCTCCATGAGCTGGAAATTATTGCACAAGTGGTTCAGTTCTGCTACTGTGCACATTTGACAGCTACACAGCACAATCCTATGCACAGTTCCAAGGAAGCAGTTCCCATTAATCTGAGTGGTGAATGCAGAACTGTGCTGTTGAATTCCTGACCTGTTTGACATGCCCCATTTGCTGTGCTGTTTTTGCCTGCATAAGCAGGAGAAGAACCACTGGATGGGGAAGCCTACACAATTGTGTTTGTGGACCAGGTGGGCCTTTCACCTTGGTGAAATCCCTCTAAATACCGCTTTCCCATAAACTTTCCTCCCCTCTCAAACAACACTGGAATGAGGTTATCCAATGAAATTTACTGCCAGTAGACTCTGGCCAAACAAAATATAAGACTTCAACTAGCACATAAGAGTATCTAAAGGAGGGATAGTTCTGTTGTGCCCTCCAGAGGTTGGTGCTCTCCAACTCCCATTGCCCAACAACTTATGGAAGGCACCACATTGGTGATCCCTGATCTGAAAGGATCCCTGCTCTCCCACACCCATACCAGCCCATTGAGCTCATTAGTGGCAGTTCGACTGCATGTAAAACATGGATAGGCAACCTAAGGCCCGGGGGCCAGATCTGGCCCAATCACCTTCTCAATCTGGCCTGCGGACGGTCCGGGAACCAACGTGTTTTTGCATGAGTAGAATGTGTGCTTTTATTCAAAATGCATCTCTGTGTTATTTGTGGGACATAGGAATTTGTTCATATTTTTCCACAAAAATATAGTCCGGTCCTCACAAGGTCTGAGAGACAGTGGACCAGCACACGGCTGAAAAAGTTTGCTGACCCCTGATGTAGAATCATTGAATTGTAGAGTTGGAAGGAACCCCAAGGGTCATCAAGTACAACTCCCTGCAATGCATTAATATTTTGCCCAACGTGGGGCTCAAACCCACAACCCAGAGATCAAGAGTCTCATGCTGTACCGACTGAGCTATGCCAGTAATCCAATGAACTACCACCTGAGGTTCAGATCATGGAGATGACAGGGCCTTCCCAATAATGGCACCCAAACTCTGGAGCACTTTTCCTTGAGTCCTGGTCCTTGTTGACCATTAGAAAGCCAGGTAATATCTCCTTCTTCCAGCAGGACTTTCACACTGGACAGCTGTTCCCTGGCATTCTTAAACAGTTACGTGACATGCTGCCTTGGTGGCCTTTTGGGTAGAAAGGCAGCATATGCATTTTAATATAAATTGATGGCATATGTTGCCAAAAGATGTGATGATGATTGCTGTCTTAGACAGCTTTAAGAGGGATTTTAAATATCATGGGGGAGAATTGGTTAAGCAATGGCTTTTAGCCATGATGGCTAGATGGACCCTCCCTGTTCAGAGGCAGTCTACCTTTGAATATCAGGACTGGGATATCCCCCTGCCCGTGGGCTGCCTAGAAGCATCTAGTTGATCACTGTGTGAAGCAGGATGCTGGATGATCCTTTGGTCTGATGCAGCGGGACTCTTCTGATGTTTCTAAGCAAGGATTGAAATCCTATTGCTATCCTTTGTTCTCTTGCTATTAATGCATGGCACCATGCAGTGTTCTGCAGGCAAGATTGGGGGGGGGGAAGAGAAAAAAACTTTGAATAGCTGCTCCTCTGTCACACTAAATCAACTAAATTTACCTTCTATTTCCATTAACTGTTGTGACCATGCCCTCGATCACTCGCTTAAGTAGAGTCTTTTAATTTATTTTTCAGATAGTGACCTTAAGGCCTCTCTCTATTAGCCATAATTGTGGTCTCTTGCGTTCGCTTGAAACTTTTTTTGAACGAATGCAGTTCTCCCCTCTATGTGACTTTAATTAACTGTGACAAATTCCGCCCAAAGCACATTTGCAAATAACACATAATTTATGAGGTCAGAGAAGAAGAAATATTTAGTGCCCTATTAAATCAACCGACAGGCATTTGTTTCAGGTACTTAATGGCATCATTTGATGGGCAGCCCACCCCCATCTTTCCCAACACTCTGCGGTAATGCATTTAGAGTACATACATTTCTTGGGAACTTTAAAAGGGGCAATTAAGGCAAACTATAGATCTGAAAGGTAATTTTGCAGGCAGGGAATGGGTGCCATGAATTCCCAAGCAATTTTGCCGAACTCCAACCTTAAGGTGGGATGACAGTGGTTTAACCATCACAGCAAGATAGAAACACCAGCTGTGAGGGTTAATCAAATATCTATTATGGGACGGCTCTTTGGGGGAAGTTCTTTGTTCAGAGGTGCAGCAGCCACTGTTTCTCCCAGACATTTGCTGGAATCAAGAGGGCTTGTGAAAGAAAACAGGTTTTCAGGAGACGGGCCATCGCTCAGGGGTAGAGCATCTCCTGTACATGCAGAATAATAATAATAATAAATTTTTATTTACATATATCCCGCCCTCCTCAGCCGAAGCCGGGCTCAGGGCAGCTAACAACAATAAAATAATACAACATTCTAAAATCATTCCATTATAAAATTTATTCAAATCAAATTGATGACAACCATTGGGCTAGAGAAGGGGCTAGGTTCAATCCCCAGCATCTCTGGGTGGGGATGGGCAAGACTCCTGCCTGAAACCTTGGTCAGCTTTGTAATCCCTCCTGGCCAGGCCCTGCCTCCTATAATTTTCAGAGCGTGGAATGGAAGGGTCTGCTTATGAACAACATTGCATTTTACAGTAAACTAATTCTCAACAACCATATAAAGCAAGTCATTACTCTGAGCTAGATCTCACTCCACTCACCATGCAAATTTATTCCCAGGTCAGCCCGATAAATGCATATAGCCAAAGCACATTCCTTTTCACTGCTCGTGGTACAGTATGCTTTTGACAAGGGTTACACAGAACCCAAAACAGATTTTGACAGATTGCAAGGATCTTGAGGATTCACAGAACAACTGGCTGCTTCCATGTGGGGTGACACTTTGCTTGTGGGGACTTCAGGGTTTTATTCGTTTTAGTGTCAGGAGCGTTCACATCCCACTGGCC